CTCCGCGTTTTCTTACTCCCCTGTCTACCTCCCCTCCCTCCCCCCCCTCCTCTCTTTCGCTGCCGATATGAAGCCTCGAGTCTGGTGGTCGCGGTCGCGGCCGTGGTTGCGGTGGCGGCGCCGACGGCGGCGGCGGAAGAATTTTAAGTTTCCATCCGGCGAAGTTGCACTTCCGCGGAATTTCAATATCTCCCGCCCGTAATGGACCGTTATAGCACGCATTACGCTCCATTACGGCAAGAGAGAGAGAGAAAGGGAGAGGAAGAGCTCGCGTGCGCGCGCGATACACCTTGAGGAGGATTCACGACCGTTTGAGGAGCGATCGCGTCCCGAATGAATCATCCAGCGATCGATCTCGAAATGCGACCAAAGTCGCGGTGAAAAATGAAGTCGGGGGTAGCGCACGCTCTCTCGTTCTCAGCCGCCATCGCCGCGGCTCTAAATTTGGCGCGTGCGATCGAAGTTTATTTTACGTTCATTGAGTCATTGCGCGAGACTACCTGTGACTTATAAAAAAGACCGCCTCTTCCGTAAGAGATCCTATACGGGAGGAGGTTCGTTCAGCTCGGACGCCGATGCGCATACACTGATAGGAAAATATAGTTGAATTAACTATAATCTCACTATATTTTACAGTTAATTTTGACGTCAACTATATTTTTATAGTTCGTGGAACCTGCAAAATATAGTAGAATAAACACAAATATACAGTCAATGATTGTCTTAAATAATTGTTCAGTTACTTTTACCACATATATGGTAATTTCTCATTCACAAATATAGTGAGATTTAATATTCGTATAGTTACATCTGTCATCATTTAGCAAATATTCTGGTAATATTGACCATATAAAAGAGTTACTTCACCTACCATTTTATATTTGTATCCATACAATATTTTTAGTTTAACTTACTATAATTCTTAGTAAAAATATTATATGGTTGGTTATACCACGCCTATATCGTAATTATTACCGACATTATGGTAATACTTACTATAAATATGATATTTCGGACTATAATTAGTTACTATATCATTATAGTTCCAAACATCATATTTTTCTCTCAGTGTGATCTTTCCGACTTCGCGACAAGTCGCTCGTCGCGGCTTCTCGGCGGCTCGCAAACGAGCCTATCTTATCGAGACGAAGAGAAATTTCGGCCGAGAAGTCGGCAGCAGATATCGGCAGCAAACGCGTGAGAGACGAAAGAAGAGGTCTCCTTTGCGGCAGACTCCGCGAATCTTGTCGATGACAATCCGTTTCTTTTTTTCCGACGGATTGTCTTCGGTCCGAACGTTCATCACTCTCTCATGTCGCGAATGCGGCTGTTCCCGAGTCGTTCTCGCGTAGTAACCGTGGCGCACTTTCATAATATGCCCGGCAACGTGAACCGACACATAGTGTAAAGTCGCGCCAGCACGGCGAACGACCGCACGATACATGCGGCTGCCGTTTGATGCCGGCCGATCGTAATCTATCCGGTTAACGATCGAATAAAAATTTGATGTTCTACGTACCGTGGCAATTGAAGTAGATAAGGCAGCAGCGTTATTGCGCGCGCGAGCGGCCCCTAGCTGCATTACACTTTACAATCGTCCCACTTTACTATAATCGGCGTTTAAACCATGACAAGGACACCGCGATACACTTCGCGTCGGCGGGCGAATAACGCCGTCGCGTAGCCGTCATTAAAATCTCATTTGACTGCCACTGGTCTTTTATCTTCTGTCTGTTTATCCGCCGCCGCCGCCGCCGCCCTGCAATTCGAGGACCCTTGACCGACTGTGAAACTGCAGTCACTCCCGAGAACCGGCGGCGTGCTACGACAAACACAACGGTGCGCGCTCCGCAGTCCAGTCCGCCGCCGTCGCGATTCTCGCGACGTAGTAAAAACGAATGCTGCAAGATACGAGTGGCACTTTTCAAGATATATGAGTGCGAATAAAAGTCCAGTCAACGCGCGCGGCCAGATACGGCGGATAAAGAGACCTTGGAAGATTGAAGAGGTGAGCCGAGGAGGAGAAAGCTTGTCGCACAGCGTGCACGATAAAATGACTATCGTGATAAACGACGAAATTCGATTTGCAACACCGCGAAGTCTACGCAGCCGAAATTGTCGATTCCACCGCCGCTATGCGCTACGCGTTAATAAACGCACCGCCAAGTCGCACGGTATGTTCATTATTGCCGGGGCCTTTGCTCCCCGCGCGGAGTTGCGCGCGAACTCCCCGACCGCGGTACTTTCGATACGATAATCACCCGCTCTTGGCAAGTGCATCTTCCCCGAGTCTGCGCCTTCCTCCATCCCGGGTGGCAGCAGCCGAGCCTCCGGTATCGCGCAGCGGTATGCGCTTTACCGTCCGTCGTTAGCTCCTGATGTGCGAATTCGCTCGTAAAAGAGAACGAGAGTAGCGCGGAAAGAACAGAAGAAGGAGGAGGAGGAGGAGGAGGAGGAGAAGGGTTAGCAGCCGGCTTTGATTTTCAGTCCGCGATGCGCTACTGCCAATTATTCAGCGTACACGTTGTCCCATTGTGAATCTGTCGAGAGACGGTGGTCGATTACTGCATCCGAAGTGGAGCCGTTATGTCAATTTGCATAATGCATCGATTAAATAAACGGGTTGCGCGGTCCTGTCCGATGTCGTAGAGCACGCCGGGCGGAGGGCGCGTCGTCCACAAAACAACTACTGACAGGGAGAATTCTCGACGCCGTTCACGTTCCGTGCGTGCGTCAAAATTAATGCGCGCGCGCGAGCGTGCGTCCCTTCTTTTTCCGCGACGAACGCAGCGGACGCATCATAACGATTATGAGGTTGTCGCCGTGCGATGTCATTACGATGGCGGCGGCGACGGCGGTGACGGTGTTGACGGCTTGCGTTCTCACTAACTTGCCCTTCGCCATCGATTAGGGCCGCAATCGCGAGCGACCGGAAATTCCGGCGCGCGTCCTCTTTTACTCGCGCGCGTACGCGCGTCCGTGTAAATCAGGACGCGTCATCCCTGTCGGGCTGAGCGACGCCGCAACGCCGAAATATCGGCTGGCCGGATAGATTTTCGTCTCGCTGTTGATTCAGCCTAGCGCGAGCCGGTGCCGCGCGACTATCACGTCGCGAGACAACGACATGTTTCGATGACGCGACTCGTCCCAGTTGTTGCAGACGTCGCGTCGACGCATCTTCGTGATCCGGAGGATTTCGATTCGTCGCGACTTTTTTACGCCGTTGCAAAACGAATCTACGCTCATTACGAATCGCAATTGTGCATCGCATAACTCGAAACTACATCGAAAATTTCATCAGAGGGTTGGTTTCGTCATTTGTTGAGCTGTCACGAGTGACCAATGATACTCGTTTACAGGAAGCATTATTTCTATGTAGATACAGCGCCCTTTCATTTTGAGATATTTTAAAAACAGTAATCATCACTTTAACAGATTTTGGAATTATTGTTATTATTATTGCTTCGAAGCTTCCGGAATATAAACAATTCAAGGAGAGACACAAACAAGGTTTTTTTTTTTTAATTTCGTTAGTCGTTTGAAAATATTTTAGAAAATGGTGAAATAATCTTTTTGATGAATTATTTGAAGCTGCTGTAGTGCCGGACTCTGGATATTTGCCAAGCTATTCTAAAAATGATGAAAAAACAAACTACGATCAAAGCTTTCTCCCTGCCCGAGCCTGGTTCATATCGTTTGACGAAAACTTTTGAAGAGCCCATTAATTTGAGACATGCATTTAAGTAGAAAGATTAATTAATTAAAACGCTCGCTGGATTTTCTTTCATCTTGATTTAGCTGGATATCTGCTGATATTCTTTCTATCTAATACACGAAGCGGTCTCCTTTTTTTTCACAGAGACACGGTTACAAAACGGTCGCTGCACCTGACTCTGTTAATTAATCCAATTATCGCCGTTTATTTAAGCGCTTATAGTACCTGTCAAAGTTGTATGTGCTCGACTACTGGATATGGCCGACAGTGACGAAGAGAAAGTATTTTATTCGCCGCGTGCAATTGTACGCGCGTCCCGCAGAAACATCTATTTCCATGTTTTTTCCGCGCTAACTCGCATCGCGCGAAACATTTGATCAAGCAATAGCTAGCCTACAGAACATTGTAGTTTTAATCTGCCGCGATGCGCTGTCAATTTTCTCAGACGCCACGCGCAGATGCCGAGTGTGTCGAGAATCTCCCCCCAACAGCGAGAATTCGCATATCCATCTCAGCGCTTTCTCGCGATTTTTTAACTTTCGACGTCGAATATTTCGCGAATAGCCGAGCATCGATTGCCGAACCTGACCACGTTACTTTTCGAAACAGCCATTCGCCATTCCATGGCGGTTTATACAGCGGTTTATACAGAGACAGTTTGTCTAGTCAGATCGTAGTCAGTTTCAGCGCGGCAACTTTCTAGGGGGGAGGGGAGGGAGGGGACGAGACTAATCGTCCGTCGTTCACATTGCGGCACCACCGCGTCATGCAACATCTACTGCTTCATAACTCTCTGCGTCGTAATATAGACGATCGATACGCATCGGTGTAAGCGATCTTAATGTAGACGCATAAATATTTTCGCTATGTTGAAAGCAGGAAAATGTTGCGAGCGTAAACATTTCAGGCCGGTTGCTTTTGAAAGCAACGCGGATACTTAGCCTTAAACGTACCGCCGTACGTACATAACCGATAACGGAACTCCCGACGAAGCATAAACCCGAGGAAGACGAAGAGGAAGAAATAATACGGCGAAAGAGAGGGCGAAACCTTATATAACTAGAATCAAAGTACTCTTCCGATCCAAACCAATTATTTGTTTCCCCAATTCCATTATCGGACGCAAACAAACAAGGGCACAGAACTGTCTCTTCGCAATTACATATTATTTTTTATTCCTCTATTTCTCTCTCTCTCTTTCTCTCTCTCCCTCCCTCTCTCTCCTCCCTCCCTGTGCGCAGAGGTGGCCGGGAGAAAGAAACTTTCAAGTTTTTCATTCACTTACGTGGTTCGTCGACATTGCCGAGCAAAACTTCCGCTACGACGAACCGGGCCAGCAAGCTCATCAGCAAAAGCATCCTCTCCATTGTAAGCGATTCTGTGCTTCCCATCCTCCTCGTTCGGATATCGTCCTCCTTAAGTCCCGTACTTAAGCGAAGGGTAGGAGCGAGGTGAGGTGAGGTGAGGTGAGGTGGGATGGGGTGGGGTGGGAGTGCAGGGTTGGGGGAGAAAGCCGACGCGGCTGATAACTTTCAATGAGACGAATCCTTGGAGATCCGTCAGGTCCGAAATCTGCTATCTAATGAGTGCATCTCGTCATAAGTGGTGGACGAGGATCTGTCGCATCGATTCGACCCCGGTGAGTCCTCCTGCTCCTCCTCCTCCTCCTCCTCCTCCTCCGCCTCCTCCTCCTCTTCCACCTCTTCCTCCTCCGCCACCACCACCTCCTCCTCCTCCTCCGCCTCCTCCTGCTCCGAGTTGATTTTCCACGGTGACCTCCGATAAAACGTCCGATATACACTTTTAACGGGTAACGAGCGCGGGGACGGGGGTGGCGGCGCGTATGCGGGAGGTAGTGCCGCGGGGGGAGGCTCGAACTGCACCTCGAGAGGAGACTTAAGTGCAGTTCACGGAGCACGCGAGAGAGCACAGCTCGCTTATAGAGTCCCGACGTAAAACTGAGGATTATAAGTAAGTCGCGCAGCTCCTTAAGGGTTCCGCGCGCGATTACGCGCGTTATTTATGTATGCAAACTTCAACGTCGTCTAATGGGGTTACTCGATCGGGTAATTGTACATCCTTGCATAGTCTATTGGCGTTCACTTCATACACCACTAAGTTTCACACGCGCGGTCGGTCCGCGCGCTCCTCCTCCGTCATCGCTCGGCAATAATGACGTAATGATGTTTTCGAGAGCGTGGGTCGGAAAAATCGATAAAGGTTAGGTGGCAACTTGGCTCGCGCTGTATCGCGCGATAAACGTTACACGGGGGTGTCAGGGCCTATCATCGTTGTGCCGTGCGGGCGGAAGCATTTCACGTTGCACTTTGGTATATCGTTATTATTACCGCCCACTCTCTCTCTCTCTCTCTCTCTCTCTCTCTCTCTCTCTCTCTCTCTCTCTCTCTCTCTCTCTCTCTCTCTCTCTCTTTCTCTCTTTCTCTCTTTTTCCTTTTCTCCCTCTCGCTTTTCACTCGCCACGTAGCGCGCGTTTTTCTTTCCCTCTGCGACCGCCGTGAGAGAAGTTCAGCGCTATTTTCTTTCCCTCTCTCTCTCTCTCTCTCTCGATAATTATAATCCGGCAAGAAAATATTGATCAATGACGAGGAGTATTCGCGCTCCTCAGTCGCTCGACGAACCGATCGAGGGACCCTCGGTGGTGATCAATACTACGAGATTTCAGGTACAGACAAGAATCTGAGAGATCGCTCGTCTATCCTCGTCTACTTGGTTGGTTGAAAATATATGTCGCTTTCTCAGGACTGTCCGAGCTGATCGCGATTCCGTGATACCGTGATTCCGGGTCACACTTGGGAGCCGTGCCAAGTTTCTTTCAAGAGAACCGTACGACGTAGCACGAGCGGCAAGAGGTGCTTGCCCCGTCGCCTCCTCGAGGGGGTGCACTTTCGCGGAAACACTTTTCACTGGGGATCGCGGCGTGATCGACGGCGATCGCTCTCGATCCGTAATCGGCGCACGGGTTACACTCGCGCGCGACGGACGATCGACGATCGGATCAGAGCCGAGTGACGTTCGGCCGCAATCCGTAAAAAAGTCCTGCCGATCGGCCGATCCTCAGGCACTGCGAACTCCCACTCGTGATGGAAGGCGCGCTCACTGCTGCGTTGCGGCAGGCCTACTGACGGGGTTGTCGGAGCTTTCGGCTCGGCTCGGCGCGACTCGTGCGACTCCGTCACCCTCCGGCGCGGCGGCCGCTTAAAGCGCTCGCCGACCACTTTTCATCCCCGTCGTTCTCGCTCGAGCCCGCCCGGCCGCGCGCACCCCTCGTCCGACCCACGCTTCGCGAATCGGTGGACGTTAGGAAACGGCTGCTGTCGCTGAAAACGCTGAGACCGCGAACGATACAGAACAAAAGAACACGGGCCATTTGTATTTTGCTTGTAGTTCGGTGTGAAAAATGTTCACAGTCGGTGCGCGCCGCTGTAGTTAGGACGCTGTTTAGCGGCAAGCGAGGGGTGTCCCGCGGGTAGAATTGCGTTTAGGAAAGGGCACGACGGGACTCGGAGTCATCGAGAACTCGAATCTTAATTGTCACGACGGATCAACGGGGGAAACTTTGCGGAGGAAACGACGTTGCGCTCTCATCGTTGGAGGATACTCTAAAGGCGAAACTCACCATCTTTTACGATCTTCCTCATTCGAAGCATCCGATACAACCCCGCGACAGGTACGAAATGTGCCTGAAGTAATCACATTGTGTCCTTAAAGTGAACTTTACGGGCCTTGAATCGGCGCGATATTAATTTCCGACTGCTGCAGGGCGCCGCGCTATTAAGGCGAGACGGAAAATCCGACCGACGTGCATTTGTTGAGCGAGAGTTTACGACGCAAAGTTATGAAGTGTGATATGTCGTATACGAGATATATCTATATGTTACACGGTAAACCTTGTCAGGCAGACGTATAATAAACGCCAAACGGGTTACTTTCGCCCGGTACGCCGCCGTCGAACGTTATGTTAACAGCGGTGAATTAACACAAGGGATATACGCTCTTTGCAGGCAGTCAGAACAAAGTTTAAAAGTCTAGATACATAGAGTCTTCGCTATCTGGTTCTTTTTATTTCCCTGCCAATTAATCTTTCAAATCCACGCGGCTCGCGATGCGCCGCGCGCAGCTTTTTACATGCGCTTTGTGTTGTTGCGGCGGAACGTAACAATTCAAGGGAAATGACAACTGCCAATGCATAAAAGCGCGAGTATTAAAAGCTAAAAATTGAATTACAGAACAAGCCGGATTTAATTTTGCACCCCGCAGGCAGTGAAAGTGATTTACGTGTACGTCGGCTGACCGAAAAAAAGGACGAAAATAAACTCACAAATGTGTACACGCACGTGAAGCGCACTGCATCGGCACGGAGATTTTTAAATTCGAAAATAAAGCCGACGAAATATGAAACGTTAACTGTTCGTCAGGACGCCCCACCTCTTTTATCAGAGGCGATTTTGCGACTCGCGCGATATGTCGAAGACAAATTTGGAAACATCGAGACATGTCGGCAGATATCTCGACGAGTGAAGGGAACCCAAAAATCAGCTCCTCGAGTAGTCACCTTGCAATTTCACGATGAGCGCTTAATATCGTATTCGTACACATGCGCTCAATAGGCATGCCGGCGCCGTGTCTGTCATAATTACTACACACTCGCTATAAGTGCGCAATAAAGCACTCGCGATAAAGTACTCGAGATGAAAGTTTATTGTCTGATAACAAGTCTCTAGAATACACATTTGCGCAGATGTAATACTCGAGACGCACAATCGTTGGATTAAATACGAAAGTAGCCCGAAACACTTGATCTAACATTCTATCAATAAAAGCGCAAAATATTTCCATTCATCTCACATATTTGTGATATTCATCGTCAATATCGAGTTAGTGGAAAAGTACGGCTTTTAAACTCACTGCATTCGATGAAAAAAGATTAATCTTGGTCTCTATCGTCATCGTTGTTATCTACCGCTGACTTGGCAGAGTATTAATGATGTTGTCGAATTATGTACATTTAAATTTATTAAAAATTACAATGACTTTTGACTGATCCGATTGGCACAGTTCAAGAGGTAATTTTATAGAGTTATATGAGAGCGTAATTTTATAATATTATAATTTAAGATCGTGAAAATATAGCAAATTGGAGAATGAAGCAATCGATGATGATATAGAGAATATAACACGTATATCATATCGGCTCTGCTGCATTTATAGATCAACCTCGATCAATTCTCGAGAATCTTAGATACGTGCTCTCTTTCGCAACGAGTATTCGGAACGAGTAAGGAACGAGATTGCTCACTGTATTGCTAGTCTTCTCGCACACATTTATTTTGAAATTTTTCAATATCTCGACAATACCAATCTTCGTCTGTCATGGCGAAGCGAACGCTTGAAAACATTTCTTCGTTTAATTAACGTTACACAAAACATTCGATATTTGTACAGCAATGCTGAATTATCTGTGAATAAAGTTTGGAAAGTCACACGAAAGTTTCTTATCTCGTATTCTATTTTCGTATATGCGAAAATAAGATTATTCGTCGTAAGTCTTACAATATCTTGATCTCTTCCAGACGAAAAAAATTTGAGGTTTCGTCGGGCATTACCAGTACAGTTTCTAGGCCATTCCAAACGGCAGATTCTTATCTGACATCGGGGTCACCAATTCGCCATCGTCCTTCCTGAATCGTTCAGGTTCGAAGATCTCCGAATTGGAATAAATGTCGGGATCAAGTTGAACTGGGTAGACCAGTAGCGAGTCCATAGACTCGCTGTTCCTTCAGGATGCGAACTTGCGTTCCGGAGAAGGTGCAGTCCGCGAGCAAATGTCTTATAATGTGCGCGACCGGCGCACGTCTCCTTAGGGCCTCTAAATTTAAAGAAAGAAGGATGCAAAAATGTAAGTTTTCGCGCTCAATCGATATATACGCGCTTCAATTTACGATATATATATTCGACGAACGACGAGCGTCTTGCTTTTAAAGATCGCGTCCAAGTAACTCATCATTCTTATGCTGTCGTATTCCATCACATCGTCGGTCTTCTCGAACTCTCTCATGATCTCCGTCCCGAGTCGCTTCTGCAGTCCGGATTTAATGCCAACTCGTATGGGACTCGTATAGTAGGCCTCGTCGCCATGGAGGACGCGAAGAAGCCGACGACGAGAAACACACCTGCCTGCATCACGATGACGTTTCTCAGTTCTACGAGAAGAGAAATTTTACATCGACGGCAAGCACGACGAAACTTTACATCTAGGTCTCGTTGTATTCAACTCGGACAGTTTCTCTAGATATTTTTCAAAATATGTTTTTACAAACGTGCTAAATCACGTTGTGTTTCTGGTTACACTTAGTAATAGCCATGACAAATAACTACTCGACCTTTATGTTGATACGATAAGAATTAATTGACTTGAGCTCGCGGCAGCTTATCTTTTAAGCTATCCTTGAGAATGTTCTTCATCGACAATTACATCATCTTCTTCGTCATTCACAATCGTTATCGTTTAGTGTGTGAAGTTGAATGCTAAACGCGCGAGTGCCTATTACGTCAACGGTGAACTCGAACGTGACCATTCTGCAATCGATGGTCGACTTCTGCTACACTCGGCGATCCATATACTGACTGAAGTTATTCAAAGTTACATCGCACTAGAAGGCAGAACATGTCATTGAGTGAAAAGCGAGAACCCTCAGCGACCGCCATCGCTTCCCTTCGATCGTGAACCAATTTGCACTGAATTACGGTTATCTGAAAAATTGAGATGCAAATCATTTTTCATCAAGTTTCTCTTTGTTAACTTGCTCAGCTCGAGCTTATCTTGATAAGTTGAAAATATGACTCTCGGTAAATAAAGCAAAGGAATTGAAAATACGAGAATCTGTAAGATATATTTTGTAACCTTTCTGTATGCTGACTCATAAATATAATGCGTAAAATAATATTTACGCAACGACAACGATGTGGATAAAGGTCGAGAAATAGACTTATCATTCCTTCCTTTCCATTTTTTTTTACATTTAATCGCAGTTTAATGGTGCACGCCGCATTAACGCCGATATCTAATCAGTTGTCACTTGAAATATTATCAAAATTTCTTTTTTATTAAATAAATCGAGGTTTTACCATAACAAGATAAACGCCTAAGTTTCAACGTGGATTTCTTCAGATCAACAAAATTATATTAATAATATTGACAGAGCCGATATGCGTTTCGATGATTATTCCGATTTTTGAAAGTAATCCCCAAGTAGATTCACAACGATTTGAATAAACAACCTTCCCGTTCACGTATGGTCTCCTCCTGTCAATAAAGTTAGACGAATTAATAAAAATATCTTTTATAAGAGTAAAGCTCTTGACTACCAAAATATAATCGAGACCTGAGTAGATGTGTCTATTAACGATATCTCCTTTGTATTCAACGTAAATTTCTGTCAAAACATGTTCCAGAGGCCCTTTGCTGAGCAGAATTTTGCCAAAGTCGCCAGTGGTGTTGGACCCTTCACGCCCCATGCGCTTTCCAATAACTGCAAGATAGCGCTGACATGATAGCACAACACTAGAAGGTTTGCGACACAGCTCAACAAAATATCGTGAAAAATTGTTACGAACGCTGTTAATCTTAATTTTAGCGACGGCGAATTTTAGTCCCGTTATCGATTTTTACTCGAGGAATAATGCAAAATTCGCTGTTCAACAGCACGCGATCTCACGTTATTGTCACCATTGTAGTCGTTGAATTTTCAAACTAGGACATAACGATACACTTCTTTATTATTACAAATACTGATACAACACTGCGCAAAAAATAAACGTTGCTGTAGCCAAAAATTTGAAGATCGATAATAGTTATTCGCTAAAAAAGTTCTTCGTAATGGATAAAATATTAATTTCGACAAAAATCAACAAAAATCGACAAAAATTTGAATTGATAGAAGAAGAATAGGAGAAATTTATCACGTAATATGTGAATTAAGTGTATGTTAAAAATAAATTATATTATTATTTTTATGCTGTTACATTGTCGTATATAAAGATAGGCAATATAATCAACATCGTGATCATTGAAGAAAAAACACATGTAACGTGTCGCACACACGAATTTCGTTCATTTAATGAAAGTCAAAATGATGAATACATTCTACTTGTTGTAATTCTCTCCATCTCTTTCTACCATAAAGATTTATAATGGTAGAGAAGCATGTGATACGAAACTTTCATTGATTTACTTTCATTGATCAAGAAAACCCAACTTTGATATGTAAACAATAAGTAGCCCACAAAGTAAAATACGTATTAATAAACTTCAATCAACATTAGTTTATCATGTCTAATCATGTTGTTATGTCTCTTCAAATAGAACACCAAATTAGAATGCTGATTATAAAACGCTGAATAATTACTTAGTTTATAACGTCTTACGAAACGTTGTCCAATGTCTAATCTCCATTTTTTTCCGATTATTTCATTACTACATTTTCTTCGGTCTATCTCTCACTCAGTTGCTTAGTAGTACTCACTCTATTCAGTAATCTATCATTTTCCATTTCGAATTTATCATGTCGGTCGCTTCCGCCAATACTTTCTTCTCTTATTGTATTTCCTTCTCTTTGTGGTATTTTTATTTATGTTGATAAGTACACACACAGACACACACACACATATATACATAATTGTATATAAAATCGAAATTATGCACATCCTCACTGTTGTGTTTAGCTGAGCTTAGTAAATTTGACGTACATGCCATGATCTGTCTGAAACATCATTTGTTGCTGGCGATTAAGAATTAACGGGATTTGAGTTTTCTCGCAGACGCTGATATCATAATTCAGTAGTATTTTTATCAGGCCGACTTTTGCTTGATATGCGGCAAACCTCGCACCTAAAAGAAGCGTAAATATTGTAATGTGATTAAATGACATATCTTTATTTATCGAGAATAGATAAAAAATTGCCAACAGAAAAACAGAGAGGGAAAGAGAGAGAGAGAGAGAGAGAGAGAGAGAAAGAGAGAGAGAGGGAGAGAGAAAGCGAAGGAGAGGCATCACATGCGAATGTCTCAGTAAATACATTCATGCACAAGTTACAAATTACCGATGCAATTTCTCGGACCGTTCCCGAAGGGCAGGTAATGCATGGGATTCCTGCTTTGCATGTTCTGATCGTTGAATCTTTCGGGATCAAAGACTTCCGGATCCGGGTAGATATTCGGATCGTAATGAATTCCAAAGACAGGTATGTATACTTTAAGATTCTTGTCTATGCTGACGTTGGTATGCTCAAAAGTGTATTTCTGCTGAGCATTTCGTGCGAGGAACATTACTGGCGGATATTTCCGAAGAGTTTCTGCAAAGTCACAATTGTAAGGCATTAGCTATTGTTCAAGGCAGATGTGTTCGAAGCTTATTATTAGAATAGTATATGCGTGTCGCCGTGCGAGATTGACGCTATTTACATGACTTTTCATTTTCTTTTCTCAGGCGTTTTCTCAGGAGAGAGATTCTCGGTTCTCGACTGTCGTTATGATAATATTTTGTTATGAAGCCTACCTAACGAAACGTATGGATACGTGACTGTTATGTATAGATACTTTGCTAAAATATAGATATCTAGATACTAGAGATGTCTGAACTATTCGAATTTGAACCCTTATGATTCGAATCCGAATCGAATTCGAATAGGAATCAACTACATTATCGTTTGCGTGCATCAGCTACAAAACGAGTCATCTGGGCCTGTATGTTTGAACCCTTAACTTGTAATTAACTTAACTTATAATTAATAACTTAATTATAAATTACTTTAAATATTTAAATATATATTTTATTTTAAGATGATATTACAATATCAATATTCCCTTTCATATTAAAATCTTTCATTATTACTTGCATGTTTAATAGACATACAGTCATGTTAAATTTTTTAATGATTCGATTCGATTCGAATTTGAATTAAGAAAATGAGATTCGATTCGATTCGACATAAAAATTCTTGATTCGCACATCTCTACTAGATACTAGATAGCACTTTTTCTTTACTTTTCGACCATCTTTATTATCGCCGCAAGTATTTTCGATTAATAAGTGCTACCGCCGTAGCGAAGCACCTACCTCAACACGATGAACCTGATACTCGGCAAATATGCTTTCGAACGGCCGATTTGCCGTATAATTAAGGAATATGCGGCAAAGATCTCTCTCGCGCACGCTCACTTACAAAATCACGTTAGAAAAGATCAACGAGACTGTGAGTATCTGTGAGCCGATGCAACTCCTAAGAAAATCATTTTGTGAAGCCATAAACAAACCTTTGAGTACTTGCTCCAAATAAGTCATCTTTTTGATACTGTCGTACGATATCGCTCCATTATTGTTATCGAGCACCTGCCTGATTTCAGCTTGTACTTTTTTCTGAATCGTCAGATGTTGCGCCAACTCGAACAAAACGTTACTCATCGTCGTGGAGGACGTCTCGAAGCCGGCCGCGAAAAATACGAATAATTGAGCGGCGATGTATATGTCCGGTACGTCTGCAAGTAAGAATTTATCTCATATTAATTGAACCTTAGTCCTTTCGTTAAATAATCGTCTGGCCCGATGAGTGACATTTAACAGGCGTCTAACGTTATTTCGCACGAGATGAAAAACGTAGAGATATTTGAGGAAAGAAAAGCAAATTTGATCAATTCGAGAATTAACGAGCGAAGTCGCTTACGATCGAGACCCAATTTTTCGGGATGATTCTTAAGGGTTATGAGCGCATCGATGAAATCGTGTCTGTGGAAATTGTTTTTCTTTCTGTAGTCTATGGTGTTCCTGATCATGTTCGTCATGATGTTGGTCACGTCGTGGTCGTCGAGGATAATTCCAATACGATTGTACAACTTGGGCGCAACATCTCTAAATAGCTTCCTGATATACGTTTTCATATCGGTGCGGAAGATTTTAACACCCAATTTTTGGAATTCGCTGTCCTTCTGCTTCAGAGCGTTCATCTCGATGCCGAAAGCGCACGATCCGATCACGTCGATGGTGTATTTAGACGTTAGCTCTCGGCACTCGATGATCAGGTCTTTGGACACGATCTCGTTCAGGTGCCTCTCCAAGTGCTCGGCACACTCCAGCAACAAGTGAAACATGTCCTTCAACTTTCCGGACGTGAAAACGGGCGAGAGCTGCGTTCTTAATGGTCGCCATCTAGCACCGTCGATCCTGAAGAGATGCAGGGACAGGGGTTCGGCCTATAAATTATGCATCAGTGTATCAGAAAGCGGGAATTACGTTAGAAAGTTTCCCCTTGAAGTTTCCGTGTGATCAACGCCTGCTCGGAAACTTATACGCCAGTAACTCCGTGCCGGTAAGGGAAAAAGAGAGAGAGAGAGAGAGAGAGAGAGAGAGAGAGAGAGAAAGAAAACAAGCCTACAGTCTTCCCATCGTACCTACCTTCCAATTTTCTAATTTACATTCACTGCGATTGATACGTAATTCGCTCAAACCTACTCACTACTCTACGCGTTTGTTTGTTTGTTGTAGATGTACGATTATACTCGATAGATTTGTATTTTAATAAACCGCTGCTAAAGAAACCAGTTTTGTAACTATTTATAACCGGTTTGGTAATTATTGATCGTGTTATCGCGCAAAATGCAAAATACATACCTTATCAAAAACTGCGATTTCCCGCTCAGGAAAAACGGAAAAATCTTTGATCAGTACATGCTTGATTAGGTCAGGATCCCTAAGAACAAGCGCGGGTTGTTCTCTGAAAAACACACCGACCATCGCCTCGTCCGGATACTGTTCGTAAATCTCTCTCAAGTAGGCACCTAAACATATTTTTTTGAAAAGGTGTTTAGCGATAGTGCCACAAAACGGAATCGGTTGCGGTCCCTTAACACCGCGAGACTTCCAGTAGTCGAAGTTGGCGAGGCAATAATAAAAGGATAGCAAAATTGTCACGCAAACAAACAAAATTGCTAACACCATTTTCGTCGATTGATTCACTTGTCGCTTGATCACTTGATCTTGATTCTCTAATTGCTCTTGTGCAACTAACGTCTCAGTTGCTTCCGACCTCAATAATAAACCGTCGGTTACTGAACCAATGACGATTTTGCGACAGTCGAGGAGGGGGCGGCTTACTTGATTACTATTTCTTTCTGATGACGCCAAGAGGCACGGTCACATCAAAGATAACAAATAATAACTCGAGGTGTGAATATCATGCTGACTTGCTAGATTTAACGCGTCTGTGATAGCTTTTAGCGCCGTTATCTAATAACAATAATGATAAGACAGATGTTACATCATAAATAAAAAAGAAAAGCGTTACTTAAGATGATTAATTTTAAAAAGAAGCTAATTTTGTGAGATATTATTGAACTTTTATTAAAAATGTTGCATAATAGTGGAATCTCAAAAACCATACTGGTCACTACAAACGCGATATCAGAAAATTGTTAGAAAAAAATTGTTACTTTCTTACAATAAGCTCAGTTGGACTGTTACATTATCTTTTACTAACAGCAGATCGTTATTAATAGGTTTATTTTGTGCGACTATATTTATCGTTTTGTTCTCACGAGTTTTGAGTACCACCACATTCCAGTAATGTGATGGGACTGTTTATAACCAAAGATCGGAGGACTCCGTTTGCGATATTGGCAATTTATATCTCCAATGTCATATAGACGTGTCATCCAATGTCATATTAGCGTAGATCGCTTGACATATTATCTTAAGGATAGCCTGCTGGTCCACGGAAAGTATTGTATTTCCTTCCTTCTTTCTCCGAAGAAGTTGACGAGCACTCTCCCATCCGCCACCTGGAGACGCGTTCTCTATTAGAAACTCCGCCGAGAAAAAACGAAAAATGCAATATTTCTCTTTTATTTAAAATTAATATCTTTTGTTTTCGAATCTATTCATATGTTATTAAACACACGAATATATTCATACGTTGTTAAACACATAGTCGCGATATTTTAACATTAGTTGCAAGTTTGGTTGAGTAATAATTTCTTATTTGAAAGTCATATTAATTATTAGATAGCGTTAGCTATATCGGGGCTTGTTTGCTAAAAAAACTGACAATGACACAAGGAAAATCATGAATGAGGAAATGAAAAACACACTTCCCAAAAAACTCATGTTTTATGTGTTTAACGTTTCGTACATATCTCTTTTTATGTCAACCGTTGCAAAATATAATCCAAATTACACTCTTCTAATCTGCAAATTGTTAATTATTCGTAAAAAACGCTGTTATTTATATATTATCTAGTAGATCTTTCTGGTGAAAGAACGTTAGCCAAGTGCAATTCAAATATGTTAACCGATCACACACACTCGCATATACTGTTAGACGTGTAAGAAAGATGTCGCCCGAGCGGAATATAGCGAAAAATTAATTACGGTTACCTTTCACGATATAAATTACATGTATATTAATATATTACAGAGTGTCCTGAAATTTGAGTGGAGCAATTCCGTCACACGAAACTTTGTAAAAAATTAGATCACGTAGTTATATTTTCATTCTATGCAGTTTATGTGTGTGTGTATGTGTGTAGTATAGTTTGTATTATTTGTATTGTCGAGGATTTACATTGTATGACTCACAAATATGCGAATGTATTTCAGTTGTGTATTAATTTTATTAATATAACATATCACACTCTGGCATTGGCATAAATAATATTTTATGAGCAATTTCTGAGAAACGTTCCACGAGCAACATTATTTTTAAACAGAGTCTCAAACTTTCCTAATTTTCATTAAAATGTGACTCATTAATTATCAGAGGCGCATATATGTAAACGTGTGTGCGTGTGTGTGTGTGTGTGTGTGTGTGTTACCATCTTAATTAGCGCATATAATATATCAACGGTTACTAACTGCGTGATGCTGTCAATTTATTAACACTTAATTTTAAGGCATTGACGTTTTAAGAATTTTATATTGCGAGCAAATTCGATGACTAAGGAACCACATTTTGAGGAATGGGAAAGTTCGAGATAAAAAAATATTTTCATAACAATGCCAGAACGATATGTTATACTAATAAAATTTATGCATCTGAAGACGGTGACACTTTGCAGTCGTGTGTATTTACGAGTCATACATACTATATAAATTTTCAAACGATACAAATGCGACATTACGATGAAATTATAAAAAATGTACCGTATATAAATTCTAATTTACTGCTCAATAGTTACTTCATATAATATATCGATGACCAAACATCCATTTACGACGCTCATTCTTCATTCACATCAACACTAAAAAAGATTATTTACATATGACGTAAAGTACATATACGTACATAGAATGTTGCGCAGTAACCTTTTTTAACATTTTGTGATATAATCATTTTTAATTAAATATTAAGTCACGCTATATATTATATACTTAATCATCACTTTGTGCTTCAAGCTAGTAATACATAATAAAAATAAAATTTAATCTTATACGCTATTTATTTACAAGTGATTCTCCTGTTTTCGATATTTTGTCAGAAGTAATTATAGAATCGATTAATATTTTAAAATGTTTGATGCAATATTATTTCTTTGTCGCGATATGTCTATCTTTTGATTATCATGAAGCACATACGTGCGAAAGGGATTCGTGAAGTTCAACTGCTTTTAGATAGACACAAGTGAACACGTATGTTCATAATCTACCGCTGGCGTCTTTCACACGTTATAAAAAGATTTCGTTCGATCATTAAACGAAAAAATAAGAATCGTAAAATATCGACAAGCGAATTATGTTAAGGTTATCACGTGATTTTGAACTAAGCAATCACGAGATTGAAGAGCGTCCGTGTACACGACTAGTTATTATAACAAAGAATGAAGAATTAATAATGTATGTTGGATGTTTTTCTTCTTTTTTATGTACAGGATATCCTAGAACAATTTTTACAAAGCTCATGGAGACATAGAGCGGCTGGGATGCTTCTCCAATCATCCATTTCGGCGCACGCTTACTCCTCAGATTTCTATCATTAATAACTCGAAATGGAATTATGGCGAATATCGCAGAACGGTACTTGGGACTTTTATGCTTGTCTTAATCTGCTTTATGTCTCCACGAGGTCTGTAAAAGTTGTTCCGAGACACCCTGTATAGTGCTAACATTGCTGGCGAAAGAACAACAAAGGACGACAACAAGGAAAGACAAACAGAAAGCCAACCACCAAGGCGATGCTGGGAGAGAGACGACAAGACAATAGAGAGATAAACGCAATTTTTTAATTTCGGCTTCGATATTCGAAAATAGAACATGATGAGTTTGTCGAGTCGATGCGAGTCGGTGCGTAGCATTGTTTTTAAAATTTCTTTCTTCTTTTGTATTCGCGTTTAATTTATTGACTACAGAATAAAATTCTGATATCGTTTGCATTACTATTTCGTGAGAGTGTGATCCCTCCTGATGGCACAATCCTACATAATCTACATTTGCGTTCACGATTAAAATGTGGAGTATTCCAAGAATAGGCTCGTAACATATTCAAAGCGCATGGTTAAACATAGATGAACCGTTTGAATTGCTGATTCTGCCACATCTCGACGACTGTCGAACGGTATTTTGTTGAATAATTATCGAGCTCACGTTAATTCTCTCGAAATGGCTCCTGTTCGCTTTACTCGTAAATCCTAACTGAATGCGATCGGCAAACGTCGAGTTTCGTTTTCATATTTTTAATTGCACTTACATATGTCTCATGTAAAAAATACAGTTGTCTGATATTTTATAAAACATTAAAAACAGAATAAAACATTTAAAACAAAAGTGAGAGATATGCGTATCCTGTCCTGTAAGATATTTTTCACTGACTTCCGACTCAGATGATAAGACTGGCTGTGTTTATCATTAACGTAGTGAGACAGTACAGACAATGATACACAGATAATGATACGACAATGACCGATTAGTCATTTCGAGAGAATAATTACAATAAAATTAGGTATAATCGCGTGTTAATTAATACTGCAAATCCGAGTATGTCATTTTGACATGTGTAAATATATGATTTAATGAAGTTTTCATTACACGTTTCTTATCATCTTAAATTGAATCATTTGATTCGTTTACACATCATTTGATACCTTTAAACGTATTAAATGACACGATTCAAGAAACATAAAGATATCTGCAATCAATCACACGTGTGCGTGTCAATATAACAGACTTGAATTTGCAGTGTACTTAATGAATATCGGTTCCATTTTTCTATTTACGACGACAAATACATATATTTTGCAAAGCAAGCAGATAACAAGTTCTAACGAGAAGATAATTCTATTATTTTTTTGCTATAACTATCTCAAACTTACCAAATTTACCAAATTAAACCTAGACACAATTCTATACGATCTTTACGGTCTTTAAGCGAGATCATAAGAGTAAAGATTTATCATGTGTATCACATATATCGTATATACCTTGTACATATGTGATAGTACACCTGCACGTTCATCATGAATCAACAATTCGGAGATTGCGCGCAGTTAAAAATGACACAGCTAGTCAAACACTTTTAGCAATTTATCAGTGTACTATATAAGGCATCCACGGCACTGAGCGTACAAACATGTTTCAGATACGAGAAGTTTACTCGTACGTCTTGAATAAAAAAAAAAAAGAGGGGGAATAAAAAAAGAGAAACAGAAGAAAAACGCAAAATAAAATAAAAGATATGATCTAGATAACGTCTTTTATAACCGTCGACGATGTTCATGCCGCGTTAATGCGGCCTGAGCTAGGATATCGGCGACTTTATTTCAATTCTCCGCGCGGTGGACACACGGTTAAACGGATTTCGACAATTCATTTACCGTTTGATCTACCCGCGCATTTCAATTATATGTTTACTCTTTGTTGGCGTTGTTCGCCTTTCCATTGAGCCGTGTATGTGCACCAGTCCGCGGTAGTCGTACCAATGAGAGAGAGAGAGAGAGAGAGAGAGAGAGAGAGAGAGAGAGAGAGAGAGGGAGAGAGAGAGAGAGAGGGAGGGAGGGAGGGAGAGAGAGAGAGAGAGAGAGAGAGAGAGAGAATGAGCGAGGGTGAGGGGGGGACAGCCCAGGCAAAGTCGCGGGAACGGATGCGGTACGGTACAATTGAATTAATCTCGATCGAACAACGCAACCTCCGAAATGAAACGGGAAATCACGTTATCGCACGTGGCGGCGTGCGAGCACGCGCCACGAAACAAGCGGCTCTCATTAGTTGTTATTGTTCGATCGTGATTAGCAACAAAATGCCGCCGCTGAATATGGTACATTATGCAATTATATGTGTCTAGAAGGTGATTATAGTTATTCAAATGGTAATCGATGAAGAGAACGCGGAGAGAACTGGGCTTCCCCATTATATGTATGCCTGCGCGTGTATATGTGTGTGCGTGTGTTAACAGGTTGCAGTAATTGAAGAATATATTATATCCTTCATTTGTATGCGTCCCCCTCTTGTGCAGCCTTTTGACGATTATTTTAATCGTGAAATTATAAGGACGCACACGTGACCTCATGATTTGTGCATTATTTTTAATCATCCACACGCATACAGTTACAAGTTCTTCTGCATTATTCTTCACACGTCGAGCACCGATTGGACTGTCAAATTTTGACGTCTTCCTTCCAGTCTCCGCGTAAGATGTAGTAAGAGAAAGGCATTTCATTCAAGTGCAGTGTGAAAGAAATTTGTTTTTGGAAACGATCGTTTCAGCCCTTTAAAATATCGACGAGTACGATCTGTAATCTGAAAGACTCTACGTTGCACGATCCATGTTAAGATGGAGAGCCAGGTTGCGCTTTCTTTCGAGATTCATCCGGTCGAAGATTTGAATGAAGTTTGCCTGCTCGAGACGAAGAGCCTGTCTTAATTCCCTCAGCTTCCACCCCGCTTCAATCTGCTTCTCGGCTATTTGCTTCTGCAAGGCGGCGATCCGCCGGTTTAAAGCGTCGTAATCCGCCTTCAGCGGATCACCGTGGTCCCAATTAATCGCTGGTCGATCGTGGGCCGCAGGAACGTCGTCCTCTTGCACCATGCCCGAAGTCAATAGACAGATCTTGTCGTGCAGCTCGGCCAGTTGCGTGAGCGTCAGGGACTGCGAGAGACGTAATGAGTCGGGTGAGTGCAAAAGTTTCGATGGATTGCGTGATGGAAAAACAGACCAGGTCGTTTTATCAACAACAGTTTGTTCCTTCTATCGAGTGATCGGCGTTGCTTTCTACCATCCAACGGATGGTATTATAAATCAACGTATTTGTAGCTGCCGTTTAAGTGCTGCCGTAAAAGTGGATCAGTCACGATATCCTTGGGAAACTTTTGCACCCACTCGATACTACTTCTTTCTTTATTTTTCACGGTATTACTCATCGTGCGAATCATTAGCGCGAAAATAGGCGAAAATAGATTCGATGGACACAAAGCAGCGGTGTCTCGTCGCGCGCGAGACGAACCCTCATCGGCGCGCATACCTTTAGCCAAGATTCAGGGTCAAAAGCTGCAAGCTCATCGCCATTATCCGCACCTGCGGCCTTGGTAACTTCCATGCCGAGCTCCTACAAACGATTCATGCTGGGCGTTAGCGCACGACTCGGAAATTTCGTGTTATCCCCTCTTGATAAATCGTCAAACAGGACGCGTCGACGCTAGACCGAACGTTCAAGCTCGCAACGTTAATCGCCGCTCACCGATAATTGCCTCGCGTAATTCTCCTTGTCCGTTCGGCACTCGTCGAGCAGCCCCAGTAGTTTGTCGACGCATCGTATCTCCGTCTCCGCCGAGTGGATACACTCGGACAGTCTGCGCGATTCTTTTAATAACTCCACGATGGATGGCGCGGTCCAGCGGTCGATCTCGCCGAGCTCGTCGTCCAACGTCGTCGCCAGTGCGGGCTTCGTCGATGTTTGCCCGTCGGTATCCGCGAAGCGTATGTAATCACGTATACGTTGCACGGCTGTTTCACAAATATGACTTGAAAACAAGACAGGAATTTGCGCGTCGATTCGCGTCATAAATATATGACGAAGAAAATTAACGATTTTTATCGCTCGGCACGACGATGGTGACAGATTAAAAAAGGCCTCTGACGTTTGCTCGATTCGTGCGCGTCGTATGTGTGATCGGTCTTCTTCTTCCGGTAGAACCGTCCGTTAAAAAATATATTCACGTGCGTGTTTTTATAGAATTCCAAAGATGAATATTTAATATTCGCTACCTGCTGATGATTGAAAGATTATCCAGGTGTTTAACCTGCTTAAAAAGCACAACAGCCGTACGACTAATTAGAAGTTATGAATAAGCATATTCATTGGCGTTTCCGCGCACAGCAGGACAAAAAAACAGCCGGGACATGGCGAAACAGTCGGGAGAGGTTTTATGCAGGTTTTACCGTCATATTGCCTTTCAATCTGTTTCCTCAGTGATTCATTCGCCTTAACGAAGTCGCCGCATTCATCCGCCTCAGGCGCGCCGTCCGCTGGAATTACAAAGATGTCTCTTCTTTAATGCGAACACGGGCGAGACGAGAGTTCAACGGGCGGCGGAAAAGCAGAGGTTCGCGGAGAAATCGCGTACGAATAAAGCGCATTACACGATTAAGTCATGTCCCATCGTTTCGGGCAGCCGCGCTGCAGAAATAGCGGCTATGTCTCGACGCTCATAAATACGCCAGCATTTTGCAAAAAAAAAGTGGGGAGAAGAAAAGGGAAGAAGAGAAAAGAAGAGAATCTGCAACGAGATAAGCAAACGTCGACGGGTTTGCTCCAATTTGCAATTGATCGAGTTGCACGTTCAGAGCTCAGAGCCCTTCGCTCGGCAACGATCCAATTCGGAATCGTTCCAAATTGCTTCACATTTTCAGTTTTCACGAGACGTTATTTTCAAATCGCTCCTTACCAACCGCCGCTTTGATTAATCCCCCCGGCTGCTCATCTTTCCTCTTGTCCAAATCGGCTCTATATTCGTCCCTTAACGTGTCACGTTCCTCGCTCAATTTATCGTTCTCCAATTTCAATCGAGCGATTTCGCCCTTCCGTAGATCACTCTCGGCCGTGACTCTCTCCAGATCCGCTCGTAACTCCAACGCTACGCTCTCCGAGGCGGCCAACTCGGCCGTTAGTCGTTCGTTATCCGCTCGGCATACAGTCAAATCGTCTCGCAAATGAGCCAGTGTCTCCTTCAGAGCGTTCCACTCCACGAAAGCGGCGTCCCCGCCTGTTTTCTTCAGAGCCTCCATCGCGTCATCGAGTCGCGCCCGTACGTCATCGGCATTCCTCGCAGCCTCGGCAGCTCGGACTGTCAAGTCGTCCCTCTCCTTGCCGAGCTTCTCGTTCTCGTTCTCCAGGAACTTGATCTTCGCTTCAGCGTCCCCGCGTGTCTTCCTCAGCTCCTCGATCTCTCCCTGCAGCATGCTGTTCTGATTCGTCGACTTGTCAAGGTCATTCTTCGCCGCGGCTAAATCGGACCCCATGCTGTCGAGTTCCGTCGCCATTCTGCCGCGCTCGATTCTCAAGGCGGCCGCCTCGCTCTCTGCGGCGGCGCCGCGTTCATTCGCGTCGTTCAGCTGCTGCTTCAAAGTCTCGTTTTCCGCACGCGTCTTATCCAGCTCCGCTTTTAGCGCCCTTAATTCGCCGCTCAGAACGTCCGCTTGCCTCTCGGCAGCCTCCCTCGCGGCCTCGCCCGGCGCAATTTCTTTAGTTAACCCACTCACTTCCGCTCGTAAAGCGTGTAACTCACTCAGAAGCGCTTCCTTCTCGTCCAGCAACGCGGCCGCTTGATCTCGCAAACTGTTGGTCGTGTTCCGCGCGTCGATCGATGCCGCCCTCAAGTCCTCCGCCTCCTTGTTCAGCTTGTCATTCGCCAGTTTAAGCGCATCAAAATTCTCCCGCAGCTTCGCCGAGTCTTCTCTCAATTTGTCGTTCTCGGATTGGCAAGCGGATAATTCCGATCGAATTTTCTCCGATAATGCCTGCACAGCAGTCAGGTCGGACTTGAGACTTTCGATTTCAACTTTCTGCCCGTCGCCTTGGCCTCTCAGCTGGTCCATCTCATTCTCGAATTTCCGCCGATCCTCTCGCAAACTCGTATTCTCTAACTTTAAGCCGTCAATTTCGGACGTCAGCCTGCCTGACTCGCCCCTCAGCGCGTCATTCTCTTGAGCCAACGTGTTTATTCTCGACCTCAGCGTGTCATTGTCCGTCCGTAACGCCGATGTCTCGCTCTTCAGCTCCTCCAGCTCCTTCCTCGATGTTAATATTCCGCGCGACAAACTTTCCTCCTTATCTCTCAGCCTATCGTTCTCCGCTCTTAATTTCATCAATTCGCTCTTCAATGCCTCGAGCTCCTCTCTCGATCTTACGGCCTCGTCGCTGACCTTCTCTAATTTTAGCGCCAGCTCTTCTTTCGCGGACTTTTCGGCGAACGAGGTCTGCTGGAGTCTCTCCGCCTGATTTTTGAGCTCTGCCAGCTCTCCCTCCAGCTTGATCTTCTCATTTCTAAGATTAGCCATCTCTTTCTCTAATGCTTGTCGCTCGACCTACGAGTTTCAAGAAGATTATTATCAGGCGACTGAGAAAATCACACACGAGTGGGATGTGCAACTAAATTATCTCTACCTGGCAGCTATTTAAGGCCTCCTTTATCCTCTCATTCTCGGCATGTGACTTATCTACTTCCGTCTGGAGCTTGTAATTCTCCTGCTTCCAATGCTCGACAATTTCCTCGAGCTTGGGCACTTGCGACTGCAAGTCAGAAATAATTCGGCCCAAATCGTCGATCTCGCTCTTCATCTCGACATTCGCGGCTTCTAAGCTCGACGATTGCTCGCTCCGTGTCGACAGCTCACCCCTAAGCGCGTCCTTCTCTTCCTTCAGCTGATGATTCAGCGCCTTCAGCTCATCGATTTTCGCGATCAGATTCTTCATCTCGCTCTTCAACGCCGCTAATTCCTCCTGAATGTCTCGTTTGCCGGCAGTTTCCGCACCTAGATCCAATTTCAGTTTGTCAATCTCGTTCTGCAGCTTGTTTCTATCGATCTCTAAATTAGTCATCCGAGGCTCGAGAAACTTAAGCTGATTCTCGACGTCACTGAGTTGTGTTCTCAATTTATTCGCTTCGTTGGCCGATAAGTCCATCTGTTTCTCCAATTCGCTTATATCTGCTCTCAGCTTATCATTCTCGTCTCTGCAACTATCCGTCTCGATCCTGACGGCTGCGTTTTCTATTTCTGTTCGGCGAACGTCCTCCCTCAGCCTCTCGTTCGTAACTCTCGCCTCCTCCAGTTCATTACTTAACTTGGCTATTTCTTTCCGCGAATCTGCAACCTCGTTGTTTGCTCTCGTCAGGTCCTCCCTCATATTATTGACTTTTCCCTTCAGAGTCGTTATTTCGAACAATAATCTTGTTGCTTCCTCTTGCCCATCGGCCGCCTCTTGTAGCAACTTGCTGTTCTCCGACTTCAACTTCGCCATTTCGCTTTGCAGAGCATCGAAGTCCGCGGATAACTTGCCGCTATTTACATTAGCCTTCTCCAATTCTCCCGCGAGAGCTTTATTCTCGGCTTTGAACTTTTCCAATTGTATCCTCGCGTCATCTAACGCTACATTTGTCCTAGACAAATCGTCTTTAAGAGCACTCGTAACAACAGCACTTTCGTCCTTCAACCTTTCCATCTCTGCCCATAGTCTATCGAGATCATTCTTTAATGCCGCCGCTTCGCGCTTTAACCGACTCGTCTCCTCCGCTCGCTTCTCCAACTCCTCTCTTAAATAACCGTTTTCAGATAATAAATCATCTCCCTTTGCTTTAATGTCATTATACTCGCTCCTCGCAGACTTCAATTCCGTAATCACGTTATCAAGATTGTTTTTCAAGGCAACATTTTCTTCCTTAAGTTCGTTAGCTTCCGTTTTAGCATTTTCCAATGCCTTCCTCAAGAATTCATTCTCAGCCTCGAGACTATGCAAATCGTCTCTCGTGCCCCCCAGCTCTTTTTGCGCCACTTGAAATTTTTCTTCCAAGAGACGTAGCTGAACGTTCAACTTATCGATCTCGTTCTTCAACTCGTTATTTTCCTCCTGCGCCCTCTTCACTTCCCCGCGTGTTTTCCCAGCTTCCTCGTCTAATGACGCATTCTCGGCACTTAGCCGGTCGCGCTCGGATACCGTTGTTTCGAGGCGTTCTTTCAACGACGTCTCTTCGCGCCGCAGCTTATCCATCTCCTCTCGCAGAGTCTCGTTCTCACTCTTGCTGCGGTCTAATTCGGCCAACCGCTCGATCATTCCCCGCTTGTCTTCCCGCAATCTGTCCAATTCTGCGGACAAGGCGGCGTAGTCCGAAGCTGCGCGCTTATTCTTCAACATTAATCCCTCGTTCCGTTCCTCCGAGCTCTCGAGTTCCGACCTGAGATCTTCGAGGGTGTCTTTTAATTCCTCGTATTCAAGCTGCAGGCGGTCCATCGTATCTCGGAGATTCGCCCTGTCACTTTGCACTTTGCTCAATTCCGCTTTGCAGTCCTCGAGATTGTTCCGCGCGTTTCTCTCGGCGTTCCGCGCATCGTCCAGTTCGCCTCCGAGTCTGTCGATCGTCGCGTTCGCAATGTTTAGCTCCTCCAGGCATCTCGCCTTCTCGCCGACCGAGATGTCCACTTCGGTCTCTCGAGTCTGCAGCCTGCCTTTCGTGTCTGCGAGCTCGACTCGCAGCGCTGCCGAATTCTCCTCCAACTCTTGCACTCTGCTCAATAATTCATCATAGTCGGCGCACCGTTTTCGCAGCTCGGCTGCTTCATCGCCGCTGTCGGCGAGCTGACGCTCCAAACGCTCCGCGCGCGCCTTCAGCTGCTCCACCTCGTTCCCGAGGATCGTCTCCTGCGCGGAGAACGCCTCGAGCTTGGCCTGTGCGGCTGCCAATTTCTCGGCACACTCCTTCTCGACCGTCTCCTTCAGCTCCAACAAGGCGACGATCTGATCGTTCCTCTCGGACACCACATCCCGCATCTTCTCCAGCTCACCCAGAAGCGTCGCTTTCTCCGGCTCCAGGTCGTCGAGAAGCGTCTCTCTTTCCGGCTCCAGTTCGTCGAGAAGCGTCTCTCTTTCCGGCTCCGGTTCGTCGAGAAGCGTCGTTTTCTCCGGCTCCAGCTCGTCGAGGAGCGTCGTTCTCTCCGGCTCCAGCTCGTCGAGGAGCGTCGTTCTCTCCAGCTCCAGTTCGTCGAGAGGCGTTGTTGTTTCCGGCTCCAGTTCTGCTGCAACCTGCGCATAAACGCATACCTCGAGTCAAGACGAGCACGAGCGTCCACGTGTTAGTCTCGGTATAAGACGCGCGTTTGCGACTCTTGGTCTGTCCGACACATGGCTGACTATGAGTCTATCTCCGAAGACGAAGAAGCAAAGCACGATGCCTTATCGTCATGAACTTCGTGAACTTCGTGGCTGACAGCCATTCGATCCAGGTCTGACTTCCACACCGGAATCGCGCGTTTCCGTTCTTCTAGCTCGTTTCGCAGGACCTCCACCTGAGCCGTCTTCTCGTTCAATTGTGCCGTCAGTTCAGCCACTAGCGCTTCGCAGTGCTGAAGCCGATTCAGCAACGTCGACCTGTCGAGCTCGTCTTCATCTAACACCGGCACGGTAGCGACCTTCAACTTACGACGAATTCGGGTTAGAGCGGCCTTAGTGGTTCGCGAGGCCAGACGAGACGGTTCACTACCCGTAGTAGATCCTCGCGACTCCTTGAGACCGGCACCTGTTGATCGGCGGTCTTCTGACCATCTTTCATTAACTCACGAAGCTTCGCTCTCAAACGGTTTAATGCCGCGCAGGAGGTATCTTCTTCGACCTCCGCCAGTTTCAGCCTCAGGCACGAGATCTCGTCTCGCATTCTGTCACGAGATCAACAGTTTGCGCGTAATTACATTGACGTGGGCCAGCTTAATGAAGATGGATGGTTGTCGAAGAAGTATCGAGAGCGAGAGCGAACTGTGATTAATGTTCTTTCGAAGATATATAACTTCGCGAGACTTATCAAACGGAAAGCTCTTCGTCATCGCGCGCCAGAATTCTTTTCTTCTTTTTCTCCTTTATGATTAATTCGATATTAATTTTTTATCGCCGCCCCCTTCGTGCGGCCCTATCGCGCTTCGAGGAAAGTGTTTTCTCTTTTCGATTAAATTCGATACGCAGCGAGAGACGTATCTCCCGCGGTGTCTTCCGGCGCGAGATTGCACGATTAATCGACATTGTACGTACTGTTTTTTCTCGGCGGCGAAACGTTCTCTCAATGCCGCTATTTTCTCCCTCGCGTATTTAACTTCCCCGCATGGATCGTCGCAGCAATCTCGTTCGGCGATGGTCTCCTCGAAGTCGCGAACTTTTTCTGTCAGTTCCTCATTTGCATTCTTCAGCCTCTCGTTCTCCTCGCGGTAATGCACGTGCAAGGGATCGGGCGTCAATATCTCATTAGGCTTCACACCTGCGTGAAGATTATTCGTCCGCCTGAAGTATTCCGTCGAAAGTATTATACATATGTTGCGTTATAATCTCTCCTTTCTCTCCCCCCTGCGACTCTGCCGCAACGCGCTGTCTGAACCAGTGTGATTGTCGAAACAGAATCAAGAGTAAAGAGAATTGCATTTTCTCGTGACCCGACGACACATCGGGATTGCGCGCTTGACTCGATGAACAATACATCCTTATTTGTTATTCGAAAACATTTTAAAAAAATGTCATATATGTACTAAAGGATAATAATGTTGCTACTCGAGGCTGTCTTATTACGAATTTACTTGTCGAGCAGCGATTGAAACATTCACGAGTTTCGATTTAGGACAAATCAGCCGTACCGCGTTCTCTCGTCGAGCGATCGTTCTATAAGCAAAGCAGGGCGTTACGGGGGAGAAAAGCATAACACACCGAATTATCAGAGTTGGCTCGAGCCGGGCGAGAAATAGCGTAAGAAAGCAAGGAGCGGGTAAATTCGACCATAAGGGGAGGGGATCGGTACCGAACGATTGCAGGGCTTGTTTCAGAGACCTATTTTCGCTCTCGAGCTGCAGCCGCTCCATCCGCCACTTCTTCATCTGACACTTCATTACCGTGAGCTTTCGCAGGGCGAACGGCAGATCGTACACCGCCCATTCCTTCGAGTTGTCCTCAAAGGGATTGTAATGGCAACAGCAGCACGGCTCGCACGGCGGCTCGAACGTCGCCGGCCTCTTCGTTCTCAGCGATGGTGCGTGGCAGCCGCACCGGCAAATCGGCGGCGCGTATCGATTTTCCATGACCCGCCGCAATTTCGAAGATCCCGCTCGACAATCTCGTCACCGTCCTCGTCGCATCGCGCGGATTTGTTCCCGAAGCGTCCGCAACCCCCTCGTGTGCGCACGGTCGGCTTTCGCATAAAGACGCGCCGCATAGAAAATTTAGAGGTTACTCAATCTAGCCGGCGCGCACCGTCTCGCTCCTCCCTCTACATTATTCGATCGGAAAACAGATTATTCATGGATTCAGGCTGTGATTCGTCAATAACGGCGAGCGAGAGAGACGGAGAGAAGGAGCGTCGAGAGAGTATCGCACTCGGTATCGGTATCGTTGGCGAGAGAAGAACGTCGCGGATACTGAGATATCTGACACGGAACGCCGGAAGGTTGAGCGGAAGCTCGCTAGACGTTAGTCATATCTTCGCGATCGGTCGAGATTTGTTCCGACGATGGGCGATTTTAATAAAGGGGTGAGGGGCTCGGTGGAGTGGAAGAGGTGAGGTGAACAAGACCGAATCGATAACTCGAATTATGGATGTCGAGCTGAATGGTTTATTCTCGGGGAAGAATGACGCCCGAACCTGTTGTGTCCCGCCGTCGCGTTAATAACAGAACAGGAATTTCCTTGCACGCGCCAACAACGTCTAAGTTTATATCGATAATTGCGATTATCGATATTCGCGGAAATCCTACGCACCGAGACTATCATCAGCGTCGTCGTCGTCGTCGTCGTCGTCGTCGTCGTCGTCGTCGTCGTCGTCGTCGTCGTCGTCGTCGTCGTCGTCGTCGTCGTCGTCGTCGTCGTCGTCGGCAACGGCGGCGGTGGCTTATGGTAGCTTGGGAGATGGAGACATTAGGACACACGCGCATTATTCACCAACTTTCCCCTCACGAAGTTCGCGCGCGCCGAGAAACCGGAAGTGCCGGTTACGTACGACCCACATAATTAAGCGGTCGCTATAATTGAATCGCGCGCAGTATGCTCTCGGCGAGTCCTCGTTAGAACAGTCTTATTAGGTGTTCCGATATTGAAGGGGCCGCGGCGCAGCGATACTGAACGCTTCTTAAGTTTCGAGAGTTTCGAGAGCACTTGGACCACGGTTCGGTTCCGTTCGAGAACTTATCGAGAGGCAGGGACGCGGAGGGGACGGTGGGGCGGAGGAACGGGTAGGAGAGGAGAGGAGGGTCCGTCATCAATTAAATCTGCGCGGTAATTGCAAAGGAAGGAGGAAAACACGGTACGCGCGCGCGGGTCTGCGAACTTCGTCGGAACTTTGCGCCCCTTTTTGCGCCCGACGTCCGCCGCACTCTGCCCCGACGCAAAATCAGCGTTTCATTAATCGAATCGACCTAACGAAACAGCCACACCGCACATCGCACGGTCTCGTAATAATAAATACAAATTCTCGCTGCGCGGGCGTCGCGCTCGCTCAGGGGCGCGAATTCAGGAACCCGAAGATAACCCCACCACACGTTTGAAGGTGTCTGACCAAAGTGCCGAAATGACGCGTGCAAGGCAATCGATTGCTCGCACTCGCTCCCACGGCCGCGTGACGTCTCGACGTTAACGTGTGCGCAAAAATTTTCAAGTAACAGCCCGGCCAAGCACTCGTGGAAGAAATGCGAAATTACGCCGTGCCGCCGCCACGTTAGTCTACTATGACACGTACGTTTTAATGAAAACCCGCGTATTGATATATTTACGCGCGATATATACAATATCTATATCGACGTTGGTATTATATATTTATAAAGCAACGTGCAATGTTAACCGCAACAGGGGATATTCGACCCCGAGAATTAATTAATAATAGCTTGAATGAAAATTACACAAAAACATTCCTCACCGAACTTCCCGAATAATTTGATAAATATATTAAAGGCTCGTTCCCCCTGCCTGCCCCTTCTCCTCAATTTCGCGCGCGCAGCGAGTCGATTTTTCACATTTATCGGCTACATCGATGTTCGGCGTAATTTTATCATCGTGCTCGTCGCGTTTCGCGCCGAGATACTCGTTCCGGAGAGTTATGGAGTCGCACATTCGGATTACGAAAGTGCAAACAAGTTGAGAACGCGAATGAAGCAGCCGAGGTAAGTCTGGATTACACTTGTATTTGCAGTCTCTCATACGCAACTCGCAGACTCAACTCCGGCCTGGGAAACTCGAGAGAAGCAATAATGGACGACCGATATCTAGACGATCACCTGCTAGTGGTCGCGGTTGATATCGCCGTCGAGGAGAAGAGCAGAATCGCCGGAATGGCAGCAGCGACCTTACACAAGCTGCGCCACGTGATCCAGCAGATGAAGAACTGGCGAGACGACAGCGCGAGGCTCAAGAGCAATATCTGGCGAATGAAAATGGCCCTTCGTGCGGATGACAAGAATGGAAACGATAACCTGGAGATCGACCCTTTGATCGTGCACCAGAGGACGGAGATTAGTCGGCTGGAGCAAGCGAACGACGCTTTGGGGAACGAAGTGGCGAGTCTGAAGCGCGCTCTGACGCGAGCCGAGGAGGATATCGTGCGTATCGCCGACCGCGAAGCGGGGGATGAAATCGCCGGGACTGAGGGCGGACCTGCGGACGAGAAGAGAGAGGAAAGACGCTCGAGTGAAATCTCGTTCCAGCAGCGGCGGAAAGAGACCGAGGAGAGTCGTGAAACGCGCGTAATGCTGAGGCGACTCGGCGACCGGCTGGAGGACTTTGCGAGAGGCGATCGTGCGTTCGAGCTAATACTCGCGAACGCGCTCGGTAAGGTCGTTGAAACGATAGTTGCCTTGTCGGAGAAGCTCGTGAATGTCCACGAAGAACTGTACCAGTTCAAGACGAAGAACAGGAACCTACATCGCAAGCTAGACCGAGCGAGAGCCATGCTGCGGTGTCGGAGCGGCAACAGCGCGGAATACCAGAAGAGAATCGGCGAGTTGAACCGCTTCGCGGAGCAGCTGATGGCGGAAATGGCTCGATTGAAGGTGATTCGCGAGAATATCAAGCGCGACGGGCACTTGGCTGACGTGGACATCCCGCGTGTGGTCACACACGTCGGGCGCCTAATGGACGACTTGAAGAACAGTCTGAAGAGTGAGCGAGAGGCGATGATGGCCGCCGGCGACCCGGATCGCCTGAGGTACATGAAGAAGGTGGTTGATCTCAAGGTAAACCTGAGAGTGTTGGCCGTGGAACTCAGGCAGGCGAGTTCGCCGTCGTTGTCGCCGATGCGCAAGTGCAGCCTCGAGCACGAGAGCTGCGCAAAAACAGCTTCGCTGCTGAACGACTTTCTGTCAAAGATCGACACCGAGGTCGGCAAGCTGAAGCTCACGTCGATAGACAGGTATTGCAGAATTGGCGGTATCAGCGGTTCGCGATACATGACGAAGATCGCGGAGCTCGAAGACCTGGTGAAGAAGTCGGTCACGGTGATCGCCGCGTTACATTGCCGTTGGAATCGCCAGGATCCGTTGGAAACCGCGGACGCCACTGAGAGGATAGTGGAGGAGCTCGGTGACTTGATCGAGCGGTTGTGCCGCAAGCTGAAGGATCTCGAGATCCTCGACGACCGCGCGAGCCTGCGCGAGCGAATCGGTCGCCTTGAAGTGTCGATCGTGCGCCTGAGACTGGAACTTACGGAGAAGAACGAGCGCGTGAGTGCACTGAACGACGAGTGCGGGCGCGTCAGGTCGACGTTAGAGGACGAGCGCGGCAAGCACGAGCAAATCGTCGCTGACATGTCCCGTGAAAATGAGCGTCTTCGCGAGGACGCGAACAGCCGGAAGCGAGACATATCGGAGCTGTCGCGCGAACGCGCGCAATCGGAGGGGCGCGTCGCGAAGATGCGACTGATGACGGTCGAAATTGATACGCTGGGGAAAAAATTGCGGCGGCTGCGCGATGACAAAGAGACGCTATTAGGACGGGCGGAGAAGATGCGTAATATTCTCCGCGAGCGAGACAAAGAAATTGCGAATATCATTACCGGGCGGGACTCGCTGAAAGCAGTCCTCGGAGCCGAGGTAAAGGACCTGAAGATGAAACTCGGCATCGCTGCCGACGAAAATGTAAAACTGAAAAGTATAATTGGGGGACTTGGGAAGCGGCGGCGACGGCGGCAGCGTCAACGACTGGACAAATTGAAAAGTTCGGCGAGCAAAGGCGAGCAGGAGGAAAAGAAGGAAGAGGAGGAGGAGGAGGAGGAGGAGGAGGAGGAGGAGGAGGAGGAGAAGGAGGAGGAGGAAGACGAGGAGAAGGAGAAGGACGAGGAGAAAGGACAGCAGCGGGACAATGGCGAAGGTTCGCGGAAGGATCCAGCGTCAAACCTCAGGGACGAATTAAAGCGTTTGAAAGCCGAATCAAATGAGTCTAAAATAAGCCTGGACGAGGCGAACGGGCAAATCACCCGTTTGAAGCGCGCGCTGGACGAAGCGCTCGGTGACAGGGCGAGGCTACACGATGAAGTCTCCGATTTGAAGTCTAACGAGGAGTCGTTGACGTATCGATTGAACGTCCAGACGAGCGCCGGCGAGGAAGCGGCGGGAGAGCGTGGGAGGTTGATGGAGACGAACAAAGTGCTCGAGGGCAAAATGAAACACCTTCGGGACGAGAAAGAGCAACTCAAGGCGGAATTGTCGGAATCACGGGCCGAAAAAGGATCACTGGAACGGTCGATGAACGATGCCAATAACAAGTGCGCCGCGTTGCAGGATCGAGTTAGGAAATTTCAGTGCGAGCTCAGTGGCCTCCGCGAAAAGGTGACCGAGCGCGAGGCCGCCATGGAGGATTTCAAGCTCGAGCTGGAGAAGGCACGGACGGACCTCGAGGATGCGGCCATCCAAGTGTCGCGCCTGAAAGCGGAAAATTCGAGGCTCACCAGCGACCTGGACGTCCTGTCCGAGGCGCGGTGCGCGGAGGCGGACGGCCGTGTGCGAGTGCTGCTGGCAGAAAAGAACGAGCTGACGACGCGTATTAACGAGCTCGATGATGAGAACGCCGGCCTGCGAGATCGCTGGAATAAGACGAAAGCGGAGAATGAATATCTTTCCATGGAATTGAATAAATCAAGGGTCGAAAATGACAAAGTGAGGGCGATAAACGCCCTGCTGCAGTTCACCTGCAACAAGAGGCTGAGCGAGAACGACGAGTTGACAAGGGAACGAGACGAGGCGAGGCGACGACTTAATGAAATCGGCAGCGATCGACGGCTGGAAATCCATGTTGCCGAGCGCGAAACGCTGCGGATCGCCGCAGTCGCGTCGTACTGCGAAAAGAATGATCGCGAGAGTCACTTGAAGAGAATCGATACGCGGCATCCACTTGCGAACGGCCACGAGCGAGGACTCGCGGACCTTCATAACAAGCTTCGGCACAAGTTGGATTACTTGGATGCCGCGCGAACGAGCATAAAGGTCGAAATTGATGGAGGGAAGGATAACGACACGACAATCAAAGCGGAATCTGATACATGTTCAGGCCCTGATGGTAAAATAAAGATCAAAGACAGGCCAAAGGGCGGACTGAGGAGGCTCGCGAGAACCGAGAATAAGGTTTCGACATTGGAACCGGCGAATTACGGTGCAAAGAACGGTGTCGTAACGATGGAACTGGCGCGCGCCGAAGACGAATCTGAAAGTCCGATACGTCCGGCCGCCGGAGAACTCGGCGACGAAGAAATCATTGACTTCATCGAGTCCGCCTCGAAGAGGAGACGCGAGCTCGTGAATATCCGCTATACACCGCGGATGAATAATTATACCGGTCATTCCGGCGACTCCAAGATGTTCGGGGATAAGGTACGGTCTCAGGTGGCCGATATTGATCAGCTCGAGGTCGAGAATAGGGCACTGAAGATGGAAGTAGATATTCTACGTGACAGTCTCGACTTCAGTCTGGTGGACGGAGAGAGAACGAGGACCGGCCTCGCTAAGGCGACGGAGGAGATTCGAGCTTTGAAATCGGAGCTGATGAATCTGCGGGACGAGAAAACGACCTTGAGGTCGCGGCTTGAGACGTTCAAGGAAGAATTAAACGGATTCAAGTCCGAGCGAACAGCTTTAAAGGACGAGCTCGTTGCTTCGAGAAAGTCCAATTTCGATCTTAGGCTCAAGGCGAACAACCTGCGAAGCGCCGTGGAAAAACTGAAGGAGACGAACGCGAGACTAGAAGGCGGTTTACGAAACGCATTGAGAGAAACGAACGAGCGTAGCGCGGTATCCGCGGCAACTCGGCGAATATTTTCCGAAACAGCAGCCAAGCGGACGAAAATTTACGGGCAATCAAGAAGCGACTGAATCGATTCGAGAGTACATCCCTGCTAAGAATTCTAGACCGCAATCTACCGAGGAGGATCTGGATGGAACATATGGATGGGCAAAAATAGCCGCGGTTCAGCCCGGCGAACCGATAAATATGCACGCTAACACGCTGCTACACCCGCTGTGCAACTTGTCGAATGTCATCCTGTCTTTGTCCGCCTCGTTAACTTTTGAAAGCAGTTTAAGTCGTGAAAGCACCGCAGTTAATCCTGATTGAGAAAAGCAGCGCGATCGAAACGTGTTCGTATCGAAGGCAGTCCGTCGCGATTCTCGCGCTGAACCGCGTCTACATGACAAATACATCTTTATCACTTTGAACATATTTTACCCACTTTCTCCGCTGCTCTTCCCCGGGGGTTTTACATAAACGGCAATTCTTCTAAAATTCATGAAGCTAACTCGTATCCTCTTAGGCGACGAACACCAAGAATTGTTTTAAGGGGAGCCGACAAAACCTCCGGGAAGCTACTTCATCTTCGGCTTTTAGGACGACGAATAGTTAAAGCCAAACAGGACGATGATAACGGTGGCGTGACGACGGTAAAGACGCGGCAGTATCGGTGGAGCGCGTAATAATGCATTAATCGCCGCGCGCATGTCTAGCCATTATCGCATACTTTACGACGACGGCGTCGCCGTCGAAAACCCTTGTCTGAGATTATTTCAGCAAAAAGCCGAGACTCGCTTTTGCGCGAACATAGTTGGCGCTCATCTATCATTCCCTCAGGTTACCGGAGTGCGACGTTGGCACGACGCAAACGAGTGGACAGTCCTCGAGAGCAAGCTCCTGCAATCATATCCTTCATCTCGGCACCTTTAATCTTTAATCCGAAGCCTTCAAGTAGGTTAATTAAATTCCAGCTATCCAGCGGGGGAAAGTAAGGTCTCTTCTCTCACTTCTCTCTTTTATCTCTTTTTCGCACTTTGCGTTTTTCTCTCTTATTTTTATTTGCTTTTTTCCGCCGAGCACATAAAGCACATCGCGCTTCTCCGGGGACAGGCACCGGCCAACGTAACGTAATATATTTTTTAAACGCTGTCCCGGTGAACAATGTATCGCAATCTGTGTGTATTATCATACTTGATAATATTCTGTATTTTTTAGCAGCTTCGTTCAACATGGATATATATGTACATGCGTACATACGTATGCATGCATATACGCGCGAATCGCGCGCGAACGCGATTGCTATTCGACTTTCAAACTCAAATACCAAAATTTGATAAATCTGCCTGACTGTATATTTTAGGGCGCCCTTTTCGGCGGGACGTCGTCCTCGTAACCTTGTGCGCGCACGCGGTCCTCGAAAGCGAAACTCGCACGTGAACTCCGGATTCTTTCTCGTCGAGCTCTCCTTTCTTCTCTTCTCTCTCTCTCTCTCTTCGCCATCGTTTGCGCGGCCAAAGAAAAAATTCCCTGCATCGCAGCCACAGATTCAGATTTCTCTATATTATACATTGGAGTCTAATTGGTCTCTTTAATACGTTCCCTATAAGTATATATTAAAATTTCGCGCATGCGCATTGCAAGGTCCCGAAAGGAGTGTAATTGCACCGTACAGACATTTTTACTCCAGAAAATATTGATCCAATATTTAATATTTCCTCTCGCAATGTCACATTCAATGTTCACGTTCAATGTTCATTCAATATATAGAGTACTAACGGAACCTTGCAATGCGCATGTACGCACGATTTTATGTTTTACGTAATGGTTACTTTTATACATGAAAACCAATGGAAGTTCTCAGTCTAGTTTATACAGGGTGTCCGGTAATTGGCTGCCAACCCCCGAAGTGTGAAGGTAGATCGGGTTAAGACAAACATAAAAGTCTCATACCGTTTTGCGAAATTTGCAATAATTATCGAGTTATTAATGACAGAAATCTGAGGAGTGCCAGTCGATCCAGCAACTGTTGCCAGTGCGCAGCGAGGAGAAGGACAACGCGCCGCTATTCGTTGTTTTATCTCGCCACACGCCACCAACAGTTGCTGGGTCGACTGGGCCGCACTGTAACTAGGGTTGCCAAATCCAAAAGTTAAAATTACCGGATATTTCTTCTTTGGTAACAAACCCAAACCGGATTAAACCGGACAGAAATAACAATCATAACGTTACATTAAATACAAAATATGACAAGAATTTATTTACAATATTAATTTCCAAACAATTTTATAAACAAAATTTGATTGAATAAAATAATAAACTATTACTTTTTTAATATATAATACATTTTATTATTGAACACGAAACTAAACAATGTTTTAGCGACGTTTTCCTCATTCCAAGCGCCTACTAGCGGAGTGCTACGAAGATCGGCGAATGATGGATCTGCAGATCATCTGCTAAATGGCATTGCTTTTCGTGGTGCTCGATTATTTGCAGGCGCTTGAAACGGAGAAACGTTGCTAAAATCTAAACTCTCATTCCATTGATTGAATATTATTTAAAAATCGGACATATGTCGTCCGGTTTGACTTGTTAACCGGATACTGGGCAAGACTTCTGAATACCTGACAGTCCGGGTCAAAACCGAACAGTTGGCAACTCTAACTGTAACCCGAGAAGCTACGACGCTTCTCCAATCATCCATCTCAGCGCGCGCTCATTCGTCAGATTTCTGTAATTGATAACTCGATAATTATTGCGAATCTCGCAAAACGGTATGGGACTTTTATGTTTGTCTTAACCTAATCTACCTTCACACTTCGGATTGGCAGCTAATTACCGGACACCCTCTATATAAAAGTCTGTGATCGTAGAAAAGTCCCGCGTCGGACTTTGGCGTCGCGACGCGGGAAACAAATAAATCTCAGCGCGCACACGGCGCGTGGTTACCGTCACCAGTGAATTCTCGTCGAATTAGGTTGATCGATCACGTCTCGGCGATGCAGTCACAATATCCCGTTCCTCGTTCTCGCGCGTCTCCTCGTCCCCGCTCGCCATTCTGCTCCTTCCTGTCTTCCAGCCGACTCCTCTTTGCCTAATGTGCACACGGTGACCTTACTCTATCGCAGATTAGGGGAGCGTATACCCAGCGACGGGTTAGTGCCAACACACACTTATCCCTGTGAAGAGGCAAACGACCCACTAATTAGCAAAGGTCGAGATGACTGCGCTCATGGTTGCGTACGTGCGTGTGCGCATAAGTGCACCGGAGGACATTCAAAGGACAGCTTCAGACACGAGTCAACGGATACGACGCCGAGCGACCGAACTTCCTACTCCGAAATCACATTAGACGATGAGGAGCCTCTTCAGAGAACGTCTTATTGTCCTCTCGACGTCGTCCCGGGTGTGAATCGAGTATTAGAAACAGCGTGTCCGCAGGGTTTGCGTTCGAGTCAATTATGCGGGGCTTAGGGTGAGTTGTCGATGAGTTGTGCACGTGGAATGTAGGAAACGAAAGGTCGAAAGCCGTGACGAGAACGCACATGGAGCAATTTACCTCTGGCACGAGATTTCATTTTCCATTTTATCGAGCGAACGATTATCTTCATACGTCGTCTGATAAATTTGCACCTCAATTAAAAGTTGCTTCTTTTCGTATTCCGTCGATCTAGGCCGCTCTCTCGACCGAACTTTCGCGTCCGTTACTTACGATTTTTCTATTTGACGGACATATCGTCCGTATGGAAAAATTGCAACATTTTTGATGGAAATTGCGACGGAATTACAACATTTTCCAACTCGGTTTGTTTCGTAACGCGTGGAAATCGCGTGATCGCCCTCGCGATCTTCTTTCGTCTTCAAACACATCGAAAGGGAGCGCGCAATTTTCCCGCGCAATCGTGCTTTTCCTCTTGGCGAAGGTTTGTAATCAGTACGCTGGAGAATTATACATGCATTCTGATATATAATTCAACGCGTTTTACCGAAGTTTTACCGAAGTTCCGAATTAACGGAACGGCCATGTATAAAATAAAATAATCCTATTCGATGGCGCGCGGGAGCCGATAGCGCCGAGTATTACCCCGTTTGATTAGACTGTTCAATATTTCCTCAATGCATTTTTTTTTTAATTTGTCCAGGAGTAATAACCGCGATAACGGCACGTAATTTTTTACTGCAATACGCACGTGGCATACGTGCAGGATAAAAGCGTGCATATTCGATATGACGGCTCGCCCGGATGTAAATTTCGTAATATTTTTCGTAATAAATCAACTGATCGTGTCACACAGCGGCCGTCACGTTCACAGAACAGAAAAAGAGAAGAAAGAAAAAAAAATTCAATTGTCATAACGACAGACAATATACGGTATCTTTTTGTTTTACGTTACCGTGTACTTTTTGTTTTGCGCGATTTTATGCGTACGCGCATGTGTTCGCAACTCTACATCTCGCAGATTAGATATCACGACATTTGCTGACTCATGTGCACGTGCGACAATGACGTACGAGCGTATGATACGAGCGATCTCGTGAAAATAAAGACAGATCCCTCCGCTCTCGACGGAAATTAATCGACCGAAATGTGTAACATACGTCCCAATTGACCCATTTACATCACAGCTAACTAAACTAAGCTAAATAAACAACTAACTTCAGAAATCGGAGACGTTCAACTGACAGTCGGCTTGTATCACTGCGCATTAACGCGGATTCGTTAAAGATCTAAAAGAATACTCCAATCATAGTTAATAATCACTAAACGCTTAGTAAGCAGTTTTTTCTGCTGAACGCGGCCATTGACAAAAAGTGAACATCGAGCATATTATTCCGTGATTGGTGATAAGTGAATGTCGTGAAATATTCTGCGGTTGGTAATAAATGACAATCATTATGTTCCGTTTACGGATGCAAATGGGTTAAAATGTATATTCGTCTTTGATCTAGCGCACAGCACCGCTCTATGTCGGCACGTTTGTTATCGCACCGCACAACAGAAATAAGAAACACCGTTTCCCCACACGGAGGATGTAATGTTAATGATCGCTGCGCTGTATAACCCGATATCATCCTCGTCGTGAGCGCGATGCAGCGAAACGTATGAATAGAAAATGATCTCGCTTATCTGCTCTCCCACCTCGAAGCGAGCAATAATGCGCGAGTCTACTTTTCATTAGCGCGAGCACTAATGCAGCGTCATCCACGCTCAATTAGGAGCGTTGCATTTTGCATGGAATATACTGCTGCGCACGGCGTAGATGCTGAGTGAGGATTTTCTCTCTTTTTTGCAAAACCGTGTGCCCGGTTAATCGGTAATATTGTGGGTTATATTTTTGTCCTGTATGTGTGTGTGTGTGTATGTGTGTGTATGTGAGAAAGAACATGCGTTTTATACATAATCAAATACAATTAAATCATTGCGGGTGAATCGTATCGAATGGAAGCCCTGACGTCGCTTATTCCGACGGGAAAACATTTCCGACTGAAAATGATTGTTCTCGATTATCTGTCAATTGACGTGTCAATTAATGCAAGAATCATATATGTGTCAGACGAAGCGGAGAAACAAAAATAGTATCGATTTATTATCGAGCATTTATATGAAACGCTGTATTGATAAAATATAAGTATTACGATAGATATGTAATATGCTTATAGTAGCCGAATGAGTATACATCGTTCAGTCGGCTCACGTGAATGGAAAAATACAGGAGAGAAAGCTACTTCGGTATTGTTACAATGTTTCCGAACGAACGTGCATGCGGTAAAATTAACACTCGGCGCGTTTCCTACATATATATATATATATATATGTAGGATATATATATATATATATATACGTGCAAGATATATATATATATCCACAGGATAAAAAGTATTCCCAATTTTATCGCAAATCTCGGAATACGAGGAACATGAGTTTCACTTCGGTGTTCCGATACCTCGAAATTCCACCGCTCAATAACGCGTCCCCGGAGTTATCTACTATAAATGATAAGTTCCCATACATGTCCATATTTCGCGGTACAATATCGGCCACCAATTCGTTGCAAATAACAAAGCGCAAAACACCAGGCTGCGTTGCAGCCGGACGCGTCGTGCTTCGTCACGCAGTCCACGTGCTGAGCCACGACTAAATAGACTTTAATTGCATGGAATCGCCGTAATCACGGAATGCCGGTACAAGTCCTTTTTTTCCTTGCTTCTTTTCCCTATCCGTCTCTGGCGCGTACATTGACGTGCGCATCTCGTGAACGGAAGCAGACTAGCCGAGAGCATCGCTATTTTACGAAAGCCCCGTAAACACGATTACACGTCCATTACGTTGTACTGATGAAAGACCGAAGAATAAGAAATAATGTCGCCGGCGCTAATCGATTCTTACGTCGGACGCTTCTCACGTCGAGCGCGTAATTTCAACTACAATTTACGGCGCTGGAGGATGAAGTTGATGCCGAAAGCCTGGTTTTGTCGAGCCCCCTTTGAGAAAGAGAGAGAGAGAGAGAGAGAGAGAGAGAGAGAGAGAGAGAGAGAGAGAGAGAGAGAGAGAGAGAGAGAGGGAGAAAATGTTTTCTACATATAATTACATATAATGCAATTATAACAATATACGCTTGCAATATATAATTGGATTTTATCTGGAGCATAGGATTTTGTTTATATAAGATAATAAATCATGGTTATAATTAAATTATAAGTCAAAAACATTATAATAATATAATAATCAATTCATTATCTTTGTACTGATTACATTAAACGTTTAGTATTTTGACTGCATTTTAACAAGTGGTAGTTTTTAATAAGTGGTGGAATTTCGAAATTCGAAACTCCGGAGTGAAACTCATGTTCTTCATGTATTCCAAAATTTATAATAAAATTAGAAATATTTTTTATTCTGTGGATATATATATATATATATATATATATATATATATATATAGGAAACGCACCGAGTGTTAATTTTACCGCATGCACATTTGTTTGGAAACGTTGTAAAAATATTGGACGTTAACACTTTGTGTGCAAATTTTAAAACTTGCAGCCATCAATGAATTTTCGCCGTTTGAAGTTGCTATAGACAATACCTCGTTTTTGATAGTTTCATATTTACTATAGTATAAAAGAGTATCCTCCTCTCCCTCCTCCTCCCCCTCCCAGCAAACAGTAATAGCGTGAAAAAGATTAGCTAACTAGTGCTAAATATAATATAGTATTATACCACATCTACATGTAGAATGGAAGCGTACATGTGAGACATGACAAATGACAGGACCAGAAAAAACTAATTTACAGCAGACGATACATCTTATCTCTCACTTTTCTAATTACTTTTCTAATTATATTGGCACTTACCATGGCGCATAATACTAAGCTGATAACTGTGGAGGGAGTATCCCCTTCTCCTCAAGGAATAAAAGTCATTCTTATCGAGAAGTATGATCACATTTGTCTTCTTTTGAAAATTGAAAGAAAGAGACCTGCATTATCTACCCGCCAACGAAGTAATGTCAAAGACCGTCAACCCTGAGTAAATTTTCGTACTGGCAAAGGGTCCCGAAGAACCTGGTGGTAATTGAGGAGTCATGACAATACCGACCGTTTTAACTACACCACCGACGAGGTAATATCAGAGAGAAACCTGAGAGCGGCCAACACGGCGTTTTCGGCGATACCGACTTTCCGCACTGGGAAAGGGTGTCATCTATATCCGTTTTGAGAGGGGAACAACGATGCTACATCCACTTTCAGATCTTGACGGTAAAACCTGCATGTGGTGGCAATCCGTGCTACATCCACTTTCAGTTCAGTTTATGTCCATGCTACAACCATAATAGCGTACTTGACAAACACGGTCTCGCACATTGTTATGCGTTTGTAACATGAATTAACATGTTAACATGCGCAAAAGAAAAGAAGAATTGAGATTGTGTATGATTAATATCATGAAGATTATATACGATATACATCGTATAAATACAGGGTGTCCGATAATTAGCTGCCAACTCGAAGTATGAAGGTAGATCGGGTTAAGACTTAAATATAAAAGTCCCATACCGTTTTGCGAGATTCGTAATAATTATCGAGTTATTAATTACAGAAATCTGACGAACGAACGCGCGTTAAGACGAATGAATAGAGAAGCGTCGTAGCAGAGAGAAGAACATCATTAATATGGATGTGGGTGATGTGGATGTGGATGTGAATACGGATGCGGATGAGGGTGTGGATGTGAATGCGGATGCGGATGTGGATACGGATGTAGATGTAGATGCGAATACAGAAAAAAAGCAGAAAAGTGCAACAAAACGCAGAAAAACGCTGAAAAATACAGAAAAACAATGAATAACGCAAAAATACCAAAAGAAAACGATGTGGATGTGGATGATGTGGATGTGGATGTGGATGTGGATGCTAATACAGAGAAACACAGAAAAGCGCAACAAAACGCAGGAAACTGCTGAAAAACGCACAAAAATAAAGAAAAACAATGAGTAACACAAAACACGAAAAAAGCGATATGGATGTGCATGTGGATGCGAATAGCGTAATAAAACGCAGAAAATGCACATAAACAATAAGGCATTAGACTTCCTAAAGCCAGCGGCACACGGTGCTTGTTTTCGTGCTGAATTGCTTGCTGGATGAAAATATTGCATTCTGATTGGTGATTTTCTGATTTTCATGCATCTTCGGAAATGCACCAATCAAAACGCAGTATTTTCATCCAGCAAGCAATCCAGCACGAAAACAAGCACTGTGTGCCGCTGGTTTAAATTTATCTTCAGATGGTCTGTAGCCAATAAAATAAAGTAATACGTGCAGCATCTAAAGATGGATATAAGGAGGCCTCAAATATAAGGCCTGACTTTGAATACGGGTATTATGGAGGATTCACATTACGTCCGATGTCCGACGTACGACGTCCGACACCCAATAGGAGAACAGCTTTCTAATAGAGAATTCAATCCTCCATTGGAAAGCTGTTCTCCTATTGGATATCGGACGTCATATGTCGGACATCGGACGCAGTGTAAATCCTCCATTAGCGTGTCATGAACTACGTTTACACGGCAAAGTTAATCCGGATTAGTAACAACCGTAGTTAGTAAATTCTTTGATTCGATTGGTATTTTCTTTTAGATCTAAAAATATACTCTAATCGAATTCGAGACTGCACTAACTACGATAGTTATTAAGTCGAAGTTAGAAGCTGTATAAACGTAGTCATAGCTGGAAAACGGCCCTTATATGACTACGTTTACACGGCTTCTAACTTCGACTAGTAACTACTGTAATTAGTGCAGTCTCGAATCCGATTAGAGCATATTTTTAGATCTAAAAGAATATACCAATCGAACCAAAGAATTCACCAATTACGGTTGTTACTAATCCGGATTAATCTTGCCGTATAAACGTAGTTTATGTTCGATTCAAGAACCTGGGTAGCGATCATGAATCTTTCACGTGAACTTTTTTTTCATTTTTCACTTTTCACTGTAAGTAATTTGACATCAAAAGTGAATTGTAAAAAAGTGAAAAGTAATATTTCTGTAATATAGATAATTAACATATAAATGTAATTATAATATGGTTAAAACGTGAAAAATAATACTATTCTTTCTAGGGACCTTAATCTCACTTGGTTATGCGATTGGTAAAAAAGAAACAACAAAGGACCATTGTTAACACATGAAAAGGAAAAGGAAACTGTTAGATTTGTAACTGGTATACAGTAGGTAAAATACAAATAAGTAAAAACATTTCCGTTATATTTTTATGAAATCATAAAAATATAAAGGAAACTTTTTACCGACATAAATATAAATAATCAATAACCAATATAAATATTAATCCTATAAAACTAATATATTGGGTTAAGTAAAAGTTTTGAGCGTTTTCCGCTAGATGGCTTTAGTGAGGTCATATCTCACGATGTATATGTCGCATCTGGTCATTCTATACTGCGACTTAAAGGTGATATAACACTTTAAAAAAAGTTCTTTGACAGTTTTGTATTTGGTGAAGCCAGTTGTGTGTAAGAGCGTTCCAAAATGGAGGTAAAAAAAGAGAAAATTCGATACATTCTTCAGTACCACTACGACCAAAGGGAAAAAACGGAGCAGGCGGCCAAAAAAGTTTGTGCTGTTTATGGACCCAATACAGTATCGAATGCAACAGCAAAGCGGTGGTTCCAACGATTCCGTTCTGGTAATATGGACGTCGAAGATGAGACACGCTCTGGTAGGCCAATCGTTGAAAATGTTGATAAAATCATGGAAATCGTCGAGTCGAACCGGCATGCGAGCACTTATTCCATTGCCCAGGAACTGAAGATTAACCAGAAAACCGTTTGGAACCATTTGCATAAGGCTGGTCTCAAGAAGAAGCTCGATGTATGGGTGCCACACGAATTGACGCAAAAGAACCTTTTGGACCGAATTCATGCCTGCGATTCTTTGCTGAAGCGTAACGAAATCGACCCATTTTTGAAGCGGTTGGTGACTGGCGATGAAAAATGGGTCACATACGAGAACAACAGGCGAAAAAGATCGTGGTCCAAGCACAGTCAGCCGGTCCAAACGATTGCCAAGCCCGAATTAACGGTCAAGAAGGTTTTACTGTGTGTTTGGTTGGATTGGGAGGGAATTATCCACTATGAGCTGCTCCCATCGGGCCAATCACTCAATTCGGACCTACGCTGTCAACAACTGACCAGATTGAAGCAGGCGATCGACGAGAAGCGGCCAGAATTGGCCAATAGGAAGGGTGTTGTGTTCCATCAAGATAATGCCAGGCCGCACACATCTTTGACGACGCGCCAGAAGCTCCGAGAGCTTGGATGGGAGGTTATATTGCACCCGCCGTATAGCCCAGACCTGGCTCCAAGCGATTATCACCTTTTCAAGCATTTGCAAAATTTTCTTGATGGTACAAAACTGGCCTCAAGAGAGGCTTGTGAAAATGAGCTGGTTAAGTTTTTTACTAATAGGGACGAGGACTTCTTCAATCGCGGAATTATGAAATTGCCTTCAAAATGGACAAAAGTTATCGAACAAAACGGCGCATATTTGATCTAAATCCGATAATCCTAACTTTGTTAATTTCGTCGAAATAAAGAGAAAAAACGCTCAGAACTTTTTACTTCACCCAATATTTATCTATAACTAAGATATTTTCATATTTTACCTCGAAGTAAAATTATATTACTGTAATACATATTTTTAGATTAATTTAAGTATGTGATTGATAATAAAGTGTTAAAAATGAAAACAGCATAAGATATTTAAAGATATTCGAGGAACATTCAGAAGATGTCTAATGTCCTAATACAAGTAAAAAAATTTCCGCTATCTTTTTATAATTTTTATATCAATCTTATAAAATTAATATTTTTTCATATTTTATCTCGAAGTAAAAATATATTATTGTAGTACATATTTTTAGATTAATTTGTGATGAATTTGTGATTTTAGATTAAGTGTGTGATCGATAATAAAGTGTTAAAAATAAAGATAGCATAAGATATTTAAGGATATTTGAAAAACATTCAAGAGGATGTCTAACGCCCTAAGGTCGTCTTGAAGATATTCTGAGAACATTCGAATGTCTGCAGGAATCCTCGAGATATCTGTTGGAGACCTTTTACCATATATAAGTTAACTTATAAAAAAGTTGGATAATTTTTTTGTTTTGGCAAGTATAATAATGCATAAGGTTTATATTACCTATACATATTTTGAAACTTTCTTTGAAATTTTCTCTGGAATATCAAACGGATTTTGCGTATCACGTAATATTCTTCACACTACCAGAGAGAAGCCTGAGAGCGCGCATGGCTGCATTTACAGCGTTATGGAAAAGTTGGCTGATTCGAAGCACCAACTGGGTCCATTTTTCATGGACATGAACTACTAAGCCAATGTCCACGATTTGTCGATACTATTCCGTGCTATGTCCATAATTATTTGGTTCTGTTCTGTGCTATGTTCACGAGCGAGCTAGATTAGTTAGATAAAAACGAAGAATCGATCTTTGTCTCACCACCAGCGAATAGACAATCGCGACGAAGCGAGCCAGCAGTGATGTTATCGTAAGGCAGACGTCGCCGTCCCCCTTTTCACACCCTTGTTTTCCTTTCCAAATTGTTTTATATTCATAATTCGGGAAGAAAATAATTTCGAAAGTTCCGATGATTCCAATTTCTGTCATATAACGCTAAAATGGTACTTCCGCTATATTTTAAGATATTTTAAAACGAACAACGGGGTTCGAAAGAATCGTTTGTACTCGTTTGTACCATTTTCGACTACAATGACGACTCTCTACTCCCTGTAGAAGCGGAGATATCAACGGAGAAAGTTGGAAAACTTTAATCTTCGATATCTCCTATACGGTTAGAGATACAGGCCTGGCTCTGGTACCAAAATAAAGCCCTTCCAAAACCCTACATTTTCGACTACAATTGCGACTCTCTATTCCCAATAGAAGCGGAGATATCGACGGAGGAAGGCTGGATATCGACGGAGAAAGGTTGGAAAATTTTAATCTTCGATATCACCTAAACGGTTAGAGATACAGGCCTGGCTCTGGTACCAAAATGAAGCCCTTTCAAAACCCTACATTTTCGACTACAATGGCGACTCTCTACTCCCAGTAGGAGCGGAGATATCGACGGAGGAAGGCTGGATTTCGACGGAGAAAGGCTGGAAAATTTTAATCTTCGATATCTCCTAAGCGATTAGAGATACAGGCCTGGCTCTGATACCAAAATGAAGTCCTTTCAAAACCCTACATTTTCGACTCCAATGGCGACTCTCTACTCCCAACAGAAGCGGAGATATCGACGGAGAAAGGCTGGAAAACTTTAAACTTCGATATCTCCTAAACGGTTAGAGATACAGGCCTGGCTTTGGTACCAAAATGAAGTCCTTTCAAAACCCTACATTTTCGACTACAATGGCGACTTTCTACTCCCAACAGAAGCGGAGATATCGACGGAGGAAGGCTGGATTTCGACGGAGAAAGGCTGGAAAACTTTAAACTTCGATATCTCCTAAACGGTTAGAGATACAGGCCTGGCTTTGGTACCAAAATGAAGTCCTTTCAAAACCCTACATTTTCGACTACAATGCCGACTTTCTACTCCCAACAGAAGCGGAGATATCGACGGAGGAAGGCTGGATTTCGACGGAGAAAGGCTGGAAAACTTTAATCTTCGATATCTCCTAAACGGTTAGAGATACAGGCTTCGGACAGGTACCAAATTGAAGCCCTTTCAAAACCCTACATTTTGGACTACATGGACGACTCTCTACTCCCAGTGGAAGCGGAGATATCGACGGAGAAAGGTTGGCAAACTTTAACCTTCGATATCTCCTAAACGGTTAGAGATACAGGCTTCGGACAGGTACCAAATTAAAGCCCTTTCAAAACCCTACATTTTGGACTACATGGACGACTCTCTACTCCCAGTAGAAGCGGAGATATCGACGGATGAAGGCTGGATATCGACGGAGAAAGGTTGGAAAACTTTAACCTTCGATATCTCCTAAACGGTTAGAGATACAGGCTTCGGACTGGTACCAAATTAAAGCCCTTTCAAAACCCTACATTTTGGACTACATGGACGACTCTCTACTCCCAGTAGAAGCGGAGATATCGACGGATGAATGCTGGATATCGACGGATAAAGGTTGGAAAACTTTAACCTTCGATATCTCCTAAACGGTTAGAGATACAGGCTTCGGACAGGTACCAAATTAAAGCCCTTTCAAAACCCTACATTTTGGACTACATGGACGACTCTCTACTCCCAGTAGAAGCGGAGATATCGACGGAGAAAGGTTGGAAAACTTTAACCTTCGATATCTCCTAAACGGTTAGAGATACAGGCTTCGGACTGGTACCAAATTAAAGCCCTTTCAAAACCCTACATTTTGGACTACATGGACGACACTCTACTCCCAGTAGAAGCGGAGATATCGACGGATGAATGCTGGATATCGACGGAGAAAGGTTGGAAAACTTTAACCTTCGATATCTCCTAAACGGTTAGAGATACAGGCTTCGGACAGGTACCAAATTAAAGCCCTTTCAAAACCCTACATTTTGGACTACATGGACGACTCTCTACTCCCAGTAGAAGCGGAGATATCGACGGAGAAAGTTGGAAAACTTTAACCTTCGATATCTCCTAAACGGTTAGAGATACAGGCTTCGGACAGGTACCAAATTAAAGCCCTTTCAAAACCCTACATTTTGGACTACATGTACGACCCTCTACTCCCAATAGAAGCGGAGATATCGACGGTTGAAGGCTGGATATCGACGGAGAAAGGTTGGAAAACTTTAACCTTCGATATCTCCTAAACGGTTAGAGATACAGGCTTCGGACAGGTACCAAATTAAAGCCCTTTCAAAACCCTACATTTTGGACTACAATGACGACCCTCTACTCCCAATAGAAGCGGAGATATCGACGGAGAAAGGTTGGAAAACTTTAACCTTCGATATCTCCTAAACGGTTAGAGATACAGGCTTCGGACAGGTACCAAATTAAAGCCCTTTCAAAACCCTACATTTTGGACTACAATGACGACCCTCTACTCCCAATAGAAGCGGAGATATCGACGGATGAAGGCTGGATATCGACGGAGAAAGGTTAGAAAACTTTAACCTTCGATATCTCCTAAACGGTTAGAGATACAGGCTTCGGACAGGTACCAAATTAAAGCCCTTTCAAAACCCTACATTTTTGACTACATGGACGACCCTCTACTCCCAATAGAAGCGGAGATATCGACGAATGAAGGCTGGATATCGACGGAGAAAGGTTAGAAAACTTTAACCTTCGATATCTCCTAAACGGTTAGAGATACAGGCTTCGGACAGGTACCAAATTAAAGCCCTTTCAAAACCCTACATTTTGGACTACATGGACGACTCTCTACTCCCAGTAGAAGCGGAGATATCTACGGAGAAAGGTTGGAAAACTTTAACCTTCGATATCTCCTAAACGGTTAGAGATACAGGCTTCGGACAGGTACCAAATTAAAGCCCTTTCAAAACCCTACATTTTGGACTACATGGACGACCCTCTACTCCCAATAGAAGCGGAGATATCGACGAATGAAGGCTGGATATCGACGGAGAAAGGTTAGAAAACTTTAACCTTCGATATCTCCTAAACGGTTAGAGATACAGGCTTCGGACAGGTACCAAATTAAAGCCCTTTCAAAACCCTACATTTTGGACTACAATGACGACCCTCTACTCCCAATAGAAGCGGAGATATCGACGGATGAAGGCTGGATATCGACGGAGAAAGGTTAGAAAACTTTAACCTTCGATATCTCCTAAACGGTTAGAGATACAGGCTTCGGACAGGTACCAAATTAAAGCCCTTTCAAAACCCTACATTTTGGACTACATGGACGACCCTCTACTCCCAATAGAAGCGGAGATATCGACGAATGAAGGCTGGATATCGACGGAGAAAGGTTAGAAAACTTTAACCTTCGATATCTCCTAAACGGTTAGAGATACAGGCTTCGGACAGGTACCAAATTAAAGCCCTTTCAAAACCCTACATTTTGGACTACAATGACGACCCTCTACTCCCAATAGAAGCGGAGATATCGACGGATGAAGGCTGGATATCGACGGAGAAAGGTTAGAAAACTTTAACCTTCGATATCTCCTAAACGGTTAGAGATACAGGCTTCGGACAGGTACCAAATTAAAGCCCTTTCAAAACCCTACATTTTGGACTACAATGACGACCCTCTACTCCCAATAGAAGCGGAGATATCGACGGATGAAGGCTGGATATCGACGGAGAAAGGTT